GTGTGTGCTGCATGAAAATTTGCAACTGCATGAGAAAACATTCATCATATGCAAATTTGCAACTTTTGTAATTGATCCCACATCAATGCAACTCACCATCCCACTTTCACTCCCTTGCCACATCAGGTTGCAATTCTCAAGAATTGCACCATTGGAGATGGTCTAAATAAGCAAGGTGTTGATGGTTTAGAGTATATATGGTATTGATTGGTTAGGGTATAAGCCTATAAGGTGTTGGTATTGTTGTAGAGTATATGGTATTGATTGGTTCGTGTATTAGGGTTTGGTTTAGGGTTTAGGGTTTGGTTTAGGGTTTAGGGTTATGATTCAAGTTAGAATAACATAAACCAGATCAATAGAGTAATGTTGGTAAACGAAAAAGTTGGTTAATCTACAAATAAGCAATGGGATGGATTGGTTCGGGTATAAGCCTATAAGGTGTTATTGTTGTAGAGTATATGGTATTGATTGGTTCGGGTTTAGGGTTCAGGGTCCAGGGTTCAGGGTTTAGGGTTTAGGGTTACAATTACATGTACCAAATCAGTAGATTAATTTTGGTAAACGAAAAAGTTGGTTAATCTACAAAGCCAGTCTAAAAGCACATCCCCATCTCCCGCCGTCAATTCCTAAACTTTTCCTTTAATCCGATGGTGAAAGAGCTTCAATCCTAACCGCGGCGTGTCACCCAATCAGATATCGCCGTTTTTGGAAAGTCGCATTTGCCCCTAACCAGTGCTGACGTTACCAAGGCCGAGGTAGCGGTAGGGAGTGTGATTTTCAGTAAATGGGAAGGGCTGGAAAGGCAAAGTAAATTTATGAGCTCATTTATAAATTCTTTAATCAGAGAGGGAGAGACCATGCTCCGAAACCCGAGAGGCACTCATCTCCTGCTGTTGTTCGTTCCTTCACTCAATCCCTGAAAAGACCCCTTTCTCCCATCTTCTCAACCCCGAAAATCAACCCCATCCGCCTCTTCCATGCTTTATTATCGGCTGCAGTGGTAATGATGAGACTGCTTATTATTTTAGATCTCAGTTCCTTTCATTATGTCATTGTTAGATCATGACTGTTAAACTAAATCCTTCGTTGTATTGTTTCTCCTTTGCTCTCCATGCAGGGTCTTTGTTAGAGGCAGGGAGGGGAGCAATGACAATAAGTCGCCGTCTGAATATAGCCGGAAGAATCATCATATGTTGTTACGATTCCATAATAGATGTTATGGAACCCTACGTCATATGATGGTTTTTCTGGGCTACATTGACGCGTACTTGTTGATCATGCTCCGAAAATATTTACAAGAGGGGAAAGTTGCCATATGTATAGTATAAAAGTGGGAGGAGGGAAAGTACAGCTTTTTGTTTTTCAAGATTTGTACTTTCAGTGTTTGAGATCTTAATAATATATCGATGAGGGATCTTTCACTCAATAAAAATACTGTAGTTTATTTCTTGATTACTGCCTCCATTTTCATAAGTCCTCTGTCGGCGCATGCTCTTGTCATTTCACGCCCAAATTACATTTCATAATTTTAGTAGCCAAAATTAAGTAACTTTATAAACAAGTAAAAAATCCGATTTAATAATTCAATAAAAAAAACGAGTGAGAAAAATAATTTAACTGAAATGTTGTACATGATTTATTTAGGGAGCAACATCCATATCAAATTCAATCAAATCCATCCGAACTAAATAAAACGACACCGTAGAAGGCAGTAGTCTTCTGATAAACCAAAGAGACACAATGACACATAAATAAAACTACACACAATTAAAACGACACCGCAGACGGCAACAGTCTTCTTATAATTCAAACGACGCCGCTTCAAGCTGATACTGGCAGTCTTCACATAGTCCATTAGTCCTAATCCGAATAGGATAAGGACGTCCATCTTCACTCCAAGTTTTCAACAATCCTTAGGTTGCTACTTCTTGTAACAGGCCTCTTCTGCAAAATCGATAACGACGATTTTAGACGTACAAAAATATTGGATGCAACTGCATTGTGTAGACACGAACAATTATATCTTATTCTTACCCTAGGTTGCTCGTAATCGTCGTCATTGTCATTTTCATCATCGTCATTTTCATCATCGGATGGCCCAGACCCAGTACACGTTCTTGCATTATGATTGGTAGAACCGCACTTACTGCAATGCTTTTGCCTTCTCCTCGGTACTGTTTCCGACTGATCTTGAGTGGTGGGAGGAACAACATCGGTGTCATCGCCACCGCCACCTTCTTCCGAAACACCATCATTCGGGGCATCACCGTTTGAGGTTGGCTTCACATAGCCAACAGGATGTGGGCATCGGGTCCTATAGTGGCGCCATTCACCGCAATTGCTACACTGTCGTGGTTCTCCTTTCTTCCTTTTAGATTTTTTAGCCCCCGAACCTTTAGCTTTGACCTGTAATGGATCCAACAAAATTTCATTCGCCTTCGGTCTATTAATGCCGGGTATGTCCACGTTGCCAGTGTCCACCATGTCCAACTTTTCACATAATGACTGAATTCCCTCACGAGCAATCTTGAAGAAATCACTAGATTTTGCCCCTTTTAACATTAGTTGTAAGCTGTGTTGTTGAATACTACCATACCTGATTGACACAATATTTTATACAAAGTGAGTAAAATTAATGTTCACCTAGCTTCGAACCAATATAAAAAAAAAATTAAAAGTGATAGTCATGGCAAACCTTAATGCGAAAAGTTGAGATTCATCTATTATGCCTGCTTCCTCCAAGCTCTCTAGTGTCTTCGGCTTCTTTGACCATCTTCGACGTACTAGGCCTTCAGGAAGTTCCAGTATGCTCTCTTCTTTCAGTACAAAAATCATATGACGGCATGGTATTCCCATATAATTGTAGTGATTACAACTACACTCCATTGCAAAGGGTTCAACTGCTTATGTGACTTGAAAAACCTTATCCATGCCAGACACCTTGACTCTAGAAGAGTTGTGGACAAATTCCAAGGACGGAAAAGGAGTGTGCTATCTTCCTGTTGGACTACAGGTTGTGGTCCGATTATACTTAATGACAATTTCCTCTCACCAAAAAAATTACAACACATGTGTTTTTAACGTGAATCATATTGTGTTGACAAAATTTCAATTGTGCAACTACCACATGGGCAGGAACTAGTGATTTCATGTGGAATAACACCCAAGAGGGCATTAGACCTATACGAATCAAAATTCCTTAGTCGAACCAATATGGTGAACAAGGTAAACTGTTCGTCTTAATAAGTATTACATGGTTTGCAGTTTATTTTTTTAATACGTGTTGACAATTTCCGCATATGTAGGTGTGTGTTCCGATGAGAGATAATGCCCATTGGTACTTGGCTGTCATTAAGTTGGACAAGGAAGAAGTCCATATCTTGGATCCACAACCAAATGAAGACCGCAATTCCTTTCGACTACAATCTGTTCAAACAATGGTAAATTTGTGCCAGTGTGCCGTTATAACGCAAAAAAATGTAAATAACTCTTTCTAAGTACAAACGTTTCTTAATTTGTACAGATGAGATTTATGCAAGCCTTGTGGAAGATTCTCTATCGTGAACAAGGATTGTCGCCACCAAGGATTGCGGAGTTTGCGTACCCAACTCCTTCAAAGGATCAAGAACAACTTAATCGGTAAGTATGCCCATTTTTTTGTGATATTAAACGACGACTTATCAACTTGGTTCTTATTACGCAATGCTTTTATTTTATGTAGGTCTGACAGTGGAGTCTGGGTATGCATGTGGATGTTTGGCGCAAGCTGGGACTCCTCTTATATTTGGGTAAAGACAATTCTAATTCGCATATTAGAAAACCACAATTGATTGTTATTTTTGAATCATGCGGTAAGCACCATGTTTGTTGATGTTGATAGCCATGCACTCAAGTGAGGAGGATGCAGATCGCTTTGTACCTTGTTCGAGAGCCCATGAACTACATAAGGCATATGGTGCTCACGGAAGCAAGAAGAGTTGCACCTCAAGTTGAAGCTGCAGTGGAAGAGTACAAGAAAACCCATGAAAAGAGGAAAAAGGAAAGAGAAGAGCACAAGGAAACCCAGTCAACGAGCCCAAGAACAACCTGATTTTGCGTTTTAGTTTTCAAGATGATGGACAACAGTTATGTTTTTTTTTTTCTCAGGATGATGGACAACCATTTTTTATTTGGTTCGGTGAATGCTTATTATTTTTGGTTTTTATATTTGGTTTTTGGTTTGGTGAATGCTTTTTATATTTGGTTTTTGGTTTGGTTTGGTGAATGGTTTTAATATTTGGTTTTTGGTTTGGTTTTTGGTTTGCTGAATGCTTTGTATATTTGGTTTTTGGTATTGTGAATGCTTGCTATATTTGGTTTTTGGTATTGTGAATGCTTTCTATATTTGGTTTGGTTTGGTTTGTTTTTTCGTGGAAATGGCAAAGGGACTTCACCAAAATTCCAGCTTCCAACTTGTGAGTGAGGTTGCTTCTGTTCAAGGCTTCAAGCCATTGTATCTTGTAGAGAGGTTTAATTGGGATCATGTATAGTTAAACTGATTGGCTCCCAATCGTATAATTAAATTTGCATTCATGTATAGGTAACCCAAAAGGTAAAACTGATTGGCTCCCAATCAGTATAAATAATGACCAAACCCAGTACAAGGCAGATAGAAAATTCTTATGTAATTAATTTAATGTTCCTAGGATATGGAAAGGCTTCCATGTAAAGGATTGAAAGTAGTGATTTACATTGATGAGGAGAGTGGCTTAAGTACCAACTCTTGAACAGATTGAAGCTACAAAGTAGGAGCCACTAACCCACTAACTAAAACTTATGACGTTACTAACTAATAATAATAAAATTAATTATTTACAGAAATTGAATTTATGCACAGCCCTTATCATTCCATTCCTTGAATTTCCACCAACGATGTTTTCACTCCCCTTTTAGTCAGAGAATTCATTGTAGTAATAAATACAATAAAAAGGCACATAATTAATGGATTCTTTATTGTGTATAATTAAAAGGATATTTTACTATAAACGAAGCATGATAGATCCACAGGGGGTAAAAGAAGCATGAGTCTTGATGAAAAAGGGGGAAAAAATCACCATAGATAAAAAATCATTATAATCAACCTAATTGGAACTGCTTAGAACAAAAGCGGATTAAAATCTCCCCCAATGAAATTCATTTGCAATTTCATAGGTAGTCCCTATTTCCACTTCTATAATTTTGAGAAAACATTGCAATTTCATCAATAGTCCCCACTCGTGGGCCAATTTCAATTGCAACCAAATTTGCACCCTTGCAATAGCTTCTCACATCATAGCAAGTGTAGGATGCAATTGCACCTCCTTGCTTAGGGATGACCATTACTGCATCTCGTCACCTGTCTTAGGGAAATTAGCCATGGCAAATTCACAAAATACTGCATGCATAGAAAAATATTTGTCTGGATAATTAAAAAAATGGGAGACTTTCCTAGTCAGATGATGTACTGGCTCCCCTCAGTACCTGACATTTTTGAGTGCTAGAGAAAAAGACTGGAAAAAAAAAACAACGAAGCCTTACAGTAAACTTCTTAACAAAACACATCCAATGCTGGCCCCTTCACTGCTCCACCCCGCCCTGCACTGCTCCACCCCGCCCTGCATCAATCGACTATCATGTAAGCCGAGGACGTTTGCTTGAGGATGCCTCAGGGGTCTCTTCATGCTCCGTATGCCGAAGGTCATAAAAAGTATTGGTCACTTCGACGATATGGTAGACTGGCAAATAGGCGGAATGGTCCTCCCTAGCATAAACCCCCATATCCATCCCAACCCTTCCAAGAAAGGTGGTCAAGAAGGTGGCATATGGAAAGGCAGTGTACCAGTTTTCCCCTCTAGGAGCAGCCTCAACCATGTTCACGCACATGAGAGATGCGAGGTTAAGAGGAATACCTCTTTGAGCTTGCACAAGGATAAACAGGTCAAGTTTACGAATTATCGAATGACCACTGTACCTTGGCATGAAGCAGTTGACGATCATCCAATGGAGGAATCGAAGAGGATCTGGGAGGAAAGAAGCCTGGATGCCCCCATTCGTCAGTCTCGCCAGTTCAACTTCGAACTCAAAATCGTACAGCCGAAGATCGCTTCTGCTATCAATGTGGTGTCCTGCGGCGGGGAGATCGAGGATCTCAGCAAACTGATGAGGCTGGAAGCAGGCTCTATAACCCAGGAAGACCGACACGAGATGAGAATCGGAGGGACCAGACAGCTCTAAATTGTGGTAGAACTTCCTCACCACATGCGGGCAGTAACTGGTGCTTCCTCGACTCCGGAGATCAAAGAACTTTTCCCAGCCAAGATTTTTAATTAACTGCTTCACTTCTTGAGGGAAAGGGGACAGGTGGATGAACTCGTACTTGGCCACAATAGATGTCTTGCTCGTGAATGAACGATAGTCCGCGAGACTTGGGGTGGATCGGCAGTCGTCGTTTGATAGAGTTAGTATGCCCATATCCGCAAACGATTTGCCTTTGTTTGCCATGGAGTCAGAGGAAGAAGGAACAAGGGAAGGTGAAGATGGAGGAAAGAGAGATTGTAGGTGTAAGAAAAAGTGATCGTGGGGGTTGAGTGTGTAGACGTGTGATGGAGACGGTTGAGTCTGGAATGTCAAGAGTTAGAAGATTTGGGAAGATATGTAGTAATGATGATGTTAACTCGTATAGGTTAAACTAGGGTAACTAAAGCTAGTTAAACTAGGGTTGGCGCTGATACCGCAGGAGAAAACTAATGGGCTCGCACGTTCTAGGCCCACTTTTGAATATTGCATGGGTCATGTACAAGCCCACGTTTGAATGTTATTTAAAAGCCTGCAAAAATCAATGATCAGACCCAGTCCAACTAGAATTAGTCCTAAACGCACCGTTAATACATAAACACAAACTAAGGAGACCTCTCCATCCGATTCGAATCAAATTATGTGTTCTTCATCTTCTTCCTCAATCCTCTGTGCGAGACGAACACTACATATCAGGAAATCTAAATTCACCGAGAGATATAAGGCTCGAGAAAATCACAATAACGCTAAGACAAGATGACAAAGAACTAGGGACATGAACCCTAGGGTTAGCAAACCTCTTTCAAGGGTTCTTTTGCAAATGAAAAGTTCGATGAACACAATAATAGACATGGTCGCCGTAATCGTGTTAGAAAGAGATAGGCGAGGGGAAATACAATGGCGAAGAACAAACAAGACAAAATTTTTTTGGGAAATTCAATCTACGTCGAATGTGGATGGGGAGCTTCTCTTGGAACTGTGAAGGGGCGTCCCTCCAAGATGAGAGAGGGATCGTGTAATTGGTTAGGGAGACTGGAAATTGGTTTGGGCGGCAGTGGGTCTACCCAATTGGGTTTGGGTCTTAATCCATTTAATTTAATCGGGGCAGTTAGTTGGACTAGGATGAAAACAAACTTAACGCGGAGGAGGCTTTTTGTAATTTGTTTAGTTATTTAGTGGCGCAGTTAGGTTTAACAAACGTGAGCCGTGGAGATTGAAAACGAACGGTTAAGATCGGCCAAGGTACCCGTACCCGGCTTTTGTCCTGGGCACCGTAGAAGTCACCATATATATATATAATAAAAGAAGCGATCAGGGGCCATATATAATTCCCCGTCCCGACCATTCTTTCCCATCCAATTGATTTTGTTCTTTCTTTTGCTATTCACGGACCGAGAGAAGCAGAGCGACCAGAGTTCAGGAAGCAACGCAAGGGAAAAATTTCACAGCTCAATTCTTGAGCCCTAGTGATCCAAAAATTCCGTAAGTAATGCCTAATCCATCCTTACGTCGTAGTTTATCGATTTAGAGCTTTAAAACGAGTTTTTGATTCATGAATTTATTGAATTTCTAATAAGCCAAATTAGGGTTTCGGAGTATCCGGAAGCCGGATTGAGCCCAAATTTCATATACGAGCTTCCTGCAGCGAGGTAATCAATCCTCTTGTGATATTATTGTCGTATTTGGATGCACATGTGGGAAAGTATATATTCCCTGGTGATATTATGACATTTAAGGAGGATGACTTGCACGAGGGTTTATTCCGAGGAAGTGCAATTATACGACTCCTGATTTACCTATGTTGAGTCAATTGTGGCCAGGTCAAGTACATGTGCAAGTAGCGAATTATGATTACGCAAGATGAGATATGGATCATGGATAAGGATACCAAGTAAGAGTACTTTGGTCTCATGGTCAATTACATAGTAATTAGGGCTCCCCATGCTATTACTCCGTTATGATATGTTATGTCACACCCCTGATGTGGTGTTGACCGTTGATTCATCATGAGATATGACCACATCCAGAGTGGTGTCAAGTCCGATATGACTACACCGACAGTGCTGGGTCCGATATGACCACATCCACGAGATGTTTGGTCCGTGTTCCCGGGAGAGTAAATAGCATGGGAGTAGTCAGGCGCCTATGATTAAAACATGATAAGATGCATATGCATAAGTCAAGGTGGTTGAGTCTTTTGCCTATTAGGATATGACGATGGCTGAGGTCTGATCCTAGTGCTTTGGCTTATTTGCTAGATGTGTGGTAGGGGTATGCTTTGTTATGAACTCACGATGCAAGGATTATCTCACTCAGCTATGAGCTGACCCTCTTTATCCTTTTTCTCTGCTTATGCCACATCATCAGCAGCAGTAGATAGGTGAATAGGTGGGAGCTGAGCAAGAGTTGAAGGCAAAATGAGGAATGGTCTTCAACTATTCTGTGCTTGGACTACTACTCGGGATTTTGTCTAGTGATCCACACCTTTTTGTAAAAATGTTTTGAGAACGTTTTTCATGTGCATACTAGCTTCTGAGGTAGTGTGAGATATCCACAGGTGTGGAAAGTTGATGATATGTGTATATGTTGTGTAACTGTGTAAGTTGTGACGATTATGGTATGTATAAGTAGGGTATGCAGTTGTGGAGTATGAAAAGTGTGACTATGGCTAAGAAAAGCCAATGCATATGGTTGTGAGTATATGTTTTTGTGATGAATTATTTTGCAGGATAAGGTGCAAAAATGTACGCCAGTAATTCATGTCGATATTTTATTTGGGTAAATTTTGATAATTAATGTAACACCTGAGATTAATTCCGCTACAATTGTATGAACAATATGATTAGGTAAAACGTATAGGGTTGGGTATTACAATTCTCATCAAAAGATGGTCTGCTACTTACTAGAGCAGTTGCTGTTTTACTACTATCAAAACTATCAAAAGCTAAGGAAGTAGAACTATGTGTATGGATCTTTAACTTTGGATGTATCCATCTAATATAAAACTGGTTAAACTGATAACGGCGAGATTATATTTTTCAAACAATTTTACACTCTTGGTAATTCTTGATGTTTTCATGGCCATAATTGTTAAAACATGCTATTTTTACCCCTAATCTCCTCTAAGATCGTAATGGTAAGATAAACAATTAGAAGTCTTCATGAATAAGATACGCTTATCATTCAGCACAGTGTTTCGGCAAAGCTTTCTAGAAGGTTTGGTTTCTAACTCTATTATCTCTTGATCATTTATTTTTACCTTCTCAGTTGCTGAATTTTCCTAAATATAAGCATTGCTTGCCTTCTTTCGACAAAAATCAAGGGGGAGAGAGTAATAGATTCAGGGGGGCTCGATTCATGTAAGCTTAGGATCCTGTAATGTGAACTCTTTGAGTACTTTTGAAGTTTGAAGGGTTTTGACTCATGGTGACTACTTAAATAAACTTAAATGGACTTTTTAACTTCTTTGGCTTGGGTAAATAGTTCATCAATATGCTATGTGTTGGTTATCCTGAACTTCCTTTTGCAACTACTGATCCATAGATATTCTTCATAGGGGAACCTACCTTCTGTTATCTATGTATTTTTGCAAAGACTTTGTTGTCTGCATGTTCCCAGGGGGAGCCTCCTTTCTATTATCAATGTGTTGTTGCAATTATAATATTGTTGTGAATGTATTTTGGTTGTGAAAACTAGTCTCTGTTTTGTAGCTAGTGGATGCCCTTTGTGTTGCTGTTTGTTGTTCCTTTTCAGGTTAGCTCACCATGGCTTGAACGAAGGGAAAATTGTTGACTAACTTAACAGGGCCACAAGCCCATCCAGCCCACTTCAGCTAACTTCAGCCCATACCAACCAGCCCACTTCAGTAAACTTCATCCCAAGTATGCCAGGAGTCTACAATCTTCTAGCTATGTCATTATGTCGTCCTTCTCCTTGATGCTGCTATCTTTCCAGTTCCAAAAGCAAAACACCAAAAGCAAAGAAAGAAAAGTAAAGCTGCAGCGCACCTTCCTCTAAAATTTCAATTCTTAATTGCGAGCTTCTCAACAAGGCAACGTTCATCAAGCTAATACACCTTCTCAACGGTCACGTTGATCTGGAGGCTATTTATAGAGCATCCGTTCCGCCATCAACACTTGACAGTTCGACAACGGAAAAAAGGCATTCTTTTGGGTTGTTGATGGGTCTAGGTTTGCTTGTTTACTCTGTAGATTACAGGAGCAATGGTTGGGTAATCTAAGAGTGTTGGGTTTGTCTAGTTTCCTACAATATATTGGGTTATAGTGTTTAAGATCTGGATAGCCGGGTGGGTTATAGTGATCGATATCTGGGTAACCAAGTATTATGAGGGTTCTAGAGTCTTTTTTTATGTTCTTCATCATCTTCTTCTCTTTCTTGTTAAAAGCATATTGATTCTGCAGAATGACGTACTTCATTCCAAATCCTTGGTAAAATTTTCAGTATCTTTTCATCTTTGTTCTTTCGATTCAAAAGTCTTTAAAGCCCCATCCTTTGATTTCACAGAGCTTGGTGTTGGGAAAACTCTAGCAAGCAGGTCAATGAATTGGCTTCTCTTTGTTCACGTGAAGGATGGGGATTAATTAATGAATGATTATGTTGAATCACATTAAGGCTGTGTGATGAATGAGCCAGCGATGCAATTGATGTCAGCAGCTCGGGTTAGATCAGGTCCTTAAGGCCTCTTTTTTAAGGAAGATCTTAACCCTTTTCAACCAATAGAGAAGGAGAGAGAGTCATTAGTAATCATTGTCCAACTACCAAACAGAAACGTGCAAGGGTAAGACGAGAATAGAGTACAAAATAATTATTAATAATTACTAATCGGAAACTGCCGAAAATCAAATAAACGCGGGTGGAGATTTATTTTCGAGCCCATGTCCTCCTCCCAACCCTAAAACCGCTTCGACACTCGCCGTTGTCAGGACAATCGCCGTTGTCTCGCCTCCGTTTTCGTCGTCTGAATACTCGCTGCTGTCTCACCTCCATTTCCGCCGTCTCGTAAGATTGAAAATGGCGACCAAAATTATTAATAATGGACCACTGTTGATTACTAATGATGGCGACGAAAATTATTAATTGTTATTATACCAAAATGAAACAGTGTAAAGAAATTGAAACGTTGACAACGACCACAAATTGCTTAATAGTGGAAAAATGAGATAAGAAATGTTGACAATGGCGATGAAATTATTACTAAGGGAGACAGAAACGTTGATAACGAGTGTTTCCCTACGACCAAAAGATTGATTAATTATGGATACGTAAACGTAGACAATGGCGACGAAAATTATTAATAATGGAAAAAATGACGATGGCACCATTTCTAAATTATTACTAATGGACATCGAACGTTGATAACTGCAAAAAATGCTAATATCGAGCACAGACTGATTAATAATGTAGCATTGAAATGTTAATACAGGCGGGAAAAACGTTTATAAAACCCCCTAAGCATCCATTAAACGAACTGACCAATATAATATAAACATAAACAATAATGCAAAACCCTAAGCCTATACAACACTCTTTCATTATTAAGCGTATATTGTGGTTGTAAGTTAGTTATCATTATTTTTAAGTAAGTTAGCCATTATTATTAACAAGTTCTTAATAATATTTGTGTATATCATAATGATACTTTGTATGGAAGGCTAATAATAATGATTGTATAGTGTTCATTATACACATCATAGACATTAATAACGTTAGGTCACAATGTTAATAACTGCCCAACAAATGTTAATAATTTGTTACTAATCATTATTAACGTTATATTATTTAGGTTGAAAAAGAAGAAATCTCATTATATAATTAATAATAGTCGCGTGGTCGGTTACTAAGGTGTAGTAATATGGGTTGATATTGTTGATAGGTACTAGAGTTCTCTTTTCAATTTGGTTGATAACGTATTTATAACATAATATAAAAATGTTAATAAGTCATGGAAATAAGTTAATCTTTTTGTAAAGGTGTAATATTATGGGTTGACAAGGTTGCTGAAAATTATTAAAAATGTAAATTTATTCTTTTAAAGGAGGAGTTACGGCTCATTGTTTAAGGAGGTTCTTAAATCATTTTTATTGGCTGATACTAGATTAGGTAGTTAATGAGGGTTAGTAGTTAATAGTTAGTTGGAATAAATAAGATATGAAAATATAATTAATATTACTCATTAATGATTCTCTTTTTCTCTCCCCCTTGATCTTCTCCATAACCCTCTCTCTCCAATACTATTAAAAGGAAATTCGAAATTAATTTAATTAAATATTATTATTTAATATTTAATAAATTCGAACTTAATATTTTTTATTCTTTAAAATGAAAATTTAAAAATAAAAATATGTGCTCTCTCTCACTTAGTGACAACTTGCAATGCAGTATTAACATTTTGCAATGACATTATCAGTATTTATGAAATGAATCATTATTATTATACTTCATCATTATTAACGACTTCAATATACTTATCAATGTCTTACAATTAAATTATTAACAATTTTCAATTGTTACTGTTTTATAGTTTCGTCATAAACGCCTATGAATGAATCATTAAAGTTATGTAACATGGTCATTAACAGTTGAATAACAATATCATTGATTTACAACATCTTTAGTACTAATGATTCACATTTTCACATCATGTTTATAACTATCTAGTCATGGCCTCTTCCAATGATTTCTAAACACAATACTTATTTTCAACATCTTGGGTACTTGTGACATAGTACACCTGTGTGATTCAGTCAAACAAACATTGTCAAGAAAAATATTAGCTCAAGCAAACCAACATTCACGCCTCAACACCAACTTTTAATAACAATACAATAAATCATTGATAACTTAAAGTATTTTGTTGAAAATAAACACAAAACATCAATGTAAAAATGTCCGACTTCAACATTATAAATGACATCAAGCTTTTAATAAAGATATTAAAAACCATTAATAACGAATGATCAAGCCACTAATAAGGAAATAGATTTTGTTATAAAAAATATTAATAATATTCAGATACAATGTTTAATATCAAATAGCACTAAAAACGCATTAATAAGTAACATGTGTTTAATGATAATGCATCCAAAATCTTTGATAATGATAGCAACTAATCATTGTTAAGTACCTTACTAGATATTATTAATATCTTATTTTTTCAAACATTGATAATGCTTATACACACCTATTAATAATGACACCAACTACGTTACTAACTTAGACTGAAAGATTAATAACCATAGTTATATCACTAAACGTAAACTCACTTTTGCTAATGTCATAAACAAACGAATACCTAACAAGTATGCTTCTTAATAATGACATTTGACAAAGTTACAAACATAAACGAAAAAATATTAATATTTCAAATCACTAAATGTAAGCAATGTTACAAATGAAATAAATTTTTGCTAATGGCTGTATTGTGCTTGGAAAAAAACATTGATAATAGCACTTCAAATGATTATAAATAATTGCGAACCAAATTGATAATACGATGTAATGATAACTAAACTTCAAGTACCAACAAATTGAAAACACAATTTCACTTTTGCTAATGTTACTAACAAAACATAACGTAAAAAGTTAATAATGTCATATAAAATTATTAAAAATATGTCGAACAACATTAATAATAACACAAACGAATACCTAATAACGAAAAATCCTAAACCCATGCAACGAAAAGCCCTAATGATGTTTCAATTTATAAATATTGATAATTTCATTACAAAATGTTAACACTAATCGGAAGTTGCCAAGTTGTGAGAGAGGCATATATTTTAAATTTCAAATTTCAATTTTAGAAAATGAAAATTATTAAATTGGGATTTTATTAAATATTAAATAATATCAAATAAAATTAATTTCATATTTCTTTTTAATTATAATGTAGAGAGAGGGTTATGGAGAAAATCATGTGAGGAGAGAGAAAGAGAATCATTAATTAATTATATTTGCATAACCCCATTTACCCTTAACTACCTATTAACTACTAACCCCATTAACTACCTAATCCACTATCAGCCAATAGGAAGGCTTTAAGATTCTCCTTAAGAAATGAGGCTTTAGGACTTGAACTCAAGCCGCATTTAATGATGATGACATCTGTCTTTTTTGGCATTGTCGCACAACACCATTATAAAACTGATAATAACAAAGAACGATAGTCTGTATGCAACCGTCCTCTTTGGATAACGTATAGTCACTTTGTGTATCATCTTCTATTTGGAACTTATGTACATCTCTTAATTAAACCGACTACCGTTTCAGTATAATTTCTTTTTGCTTATGAAAACAGTGTTATGTACTATAATGCAAATCAAGATTATACACATAATCTGCTCCCATTATATTCTGAATACTAGAAACAAAATAACACAATTTTTATGTACTTCCTTCATTACTTGGATATCTTATGATAAATATGTAATTAATAATTATATTCGTAAACGAAAAGCTCAATATGCATTCTACATATCACTTTGAGTGCAGTCTAGTAAAATTGATTGTTTTGATATTACTTATCTAGTTCATAACGCTACAATAATTAAATTATTACATTAATCGTTCACACACCAACTACTTAATAAGATAGTATACCAAACTAACAAAATTATAACTTGCCCACGCCACAATGGCTTGAGCACCAAGCTAGTAGTTATAAAGTATCAACACAAAAGATAAGTTTAATATAATTAACCAGAAAAATTCTATAAAAAGAAAAAAGAATCAAGGGTCCCAACTTGATTATAATAAAATTTAAAAAATAATTCATTGAACAAGCAACATAAGGCCAAATGAATGATTCCCTATTCTGCAGTCTTTCAAAACTATTCCAATCGAAGTCCGTGCCTTTTCTTTTCAACATCATACAATCATTCCAAAGGCTATATCAATTTGATCATCAGGCTCTGAAGAAAGGGTAAGTCTCAAATCTAACACTGCAACTCCCACTTACAACTCTCCCACCAACTTTCCCATCACTAAACCTCGGAAGCTCTCCAACCAACCCATCAGCACACCTCCTGCAATCCCTCCCAGAAAGATCCCTGCCACACTGAACCAACCCATAAATCCTGACCGAACCGGGAATCTCGACCTGTCCAGCAGCGTAAAACCGGGCAGGATCCCCTGCCGCTTCCCCAGCCAGATTCACCATCAAACGCTGCCTAATCCCATCAAACCCTGGAGCAATATCCCCACTAGCATTCTTAACGTTCACCATGTGAAACTTGTTCCTCACGTCAACTCTGCCGAAAAACCTGACGCTCGAGTACTTGAGGTAGCAGTTGTCTAGCCATATGATTGCTTCTTTGCTATAAGGACATGTCTTGTGGACCGTGGTGATTGCTTCGACTATGCAGGCTTGGCAGTGTGATGGTGTCGAATCGCCTCTGCAGTTCGCTAACCCGTAAGTTGTCTGGTCGGGGGATGATTGTTGCTGTCCTGTGATTGTTGCATTTGTGAAACCTGTAGGAGGTGTTTGGTAATAGAGCTGTCCCATTAGCTGCCTCAGGTTTCTCTCGTAGGTGCTGTTTCGGGTGAAGGTGGCGTTTGGGGTTTGTGAACAGATATGCATCAGTGGTTTGGCTGCTGCTGATGTGATTATGATTGTGGATTGCAGAAGGAGAATGAGTGTTAGGAAAGGGAGTGACATGGTTTTGTTGTGGGGGAAAGAGGAGAGAACTTTTGGTCTTTGGAACTGAAATTGAGAGATGGGTTTTTGGAGATTTGTGGGTTGATAATGGATTTATATTGTTTAAGGTTGGGAAGAAGGTGACATTTGGCTGGTGGTCAGCTTGGAAGTGTTCAAGTTGGCTCTTAGGAAGTTGTCAAATGGAGGGTTACAGAATGCAGACTTATTTGTTAATGTGGTTTGGTAATCGTATGACCTTGTTTTTATTGTCTGAAGAATCTCCACTCGTTTAAGCTAACATCAGCATCAGATAAAGTAATACAACTAATCTAAAGACGGATAGAACAACCCTTCAAAAATTGAAACTTTAATGTATTGCAATGGATTAGTTAAAGCAAGAAAGTCAATTTGATGCATGAATTTCTCATTTTGATGATCGGACCGCGTCTATGTCAGAGATGCTAGTTTATTACTGGATTGACTGGTTCTTTTCTCTTTGCCCCACAGTACATGCACCTAATGAAGTTTCCCATTTTCCTGATAATCTAATGTGTTCGGTAAATTGCGTGTTGCTCAAGCAAAGTCAGAAACTATGGAGAGATTCCAAAAGGCTATGGCAAAAAACTAAAATAAAAACAACCATCAGCCAGTTCTGTGTACAAAGCTCCACTGGTAACTCAGACAACAAAAGTTATGTGATGACTGATGATCATTCAAAAAGATGAACAATTTAACATGATCAGAAACTCAAAAGAAACAAAAAAAAACTTCTCAACGAGGATGTAAATCTGTGATGGAGACATCATTTATGGACAGCTGCAATGACTCTGATTTGGAGTTGACAAGTTCAGCACCAGCAGTACATTTATCTCCATCATCATTATCTGCTTCAAAGCTTCCTCTATTGATGAAGAATGCCGGCTGCAAAGGCGTTGGATAGGTCACAGTATGGCTGCTGAGCATCATGATGACTTCCAACATTGTTGGTCTGTCAGCAGCAGATTCCTGAACGCACAGAAGACCTATGTGGATGCACTTCAAGACCTCGGTGTTTGCCCATCGATTCCCCATCGCCGGATCCCTCAACTGTAGAGCCATCCCATTGTTCCAGTGATCCCATACCTGTGTTCACAACTGAACCAAACTTGAAAAACCAGACTTTCGTGACTTGTTACTACAAAAGGGTTACATTTCGTTTAATCAAAACACGTCACTGTACTATGTCGCTTGTCCATTAATAGTCCCATCTTAAAAAATTCAACCAAAATCTTTAACAAGTGAGGTTGATCCATGGTCACTGACCACATCACTAATGTCTGCATTCACCATTTGGGCATAACTAAGTTGGATTGAGGAGCAAATACAGATTTTCAGTATACAACTATACATGGCAGTGATGGCACATGAGTTTTCAGCAACCTGCACACTGTTTACTAAGCATGGATCGACTTTACTAGTAATGGATTTGGAGAAAAAAATACACACTGAAGCGATCAGAAACGAGTAAACAGCATAAAACAATGACCAGTTTGTTAAAAAAACATAATATAAGGACTGAAAATGTCATAAACCAACTACAAAATACGAAATAGTCTTGTGAGATGCATACATGACTTTGAAGGTTGACAGAGTTCCGATTCCTGACATTCCTTCTGCCTGTTACAATCTCCAGTAGCAGAATACCAAAGCTGTAGACATCAGACTTCTCTGAAAAGCAACCATTTCTAGCATACTCAGGAGCCATGTAGCCACTTCAAACCATGAACAACAGATTTAGTGTTTTATGTTCAAGCCTTCCATAGAGGGGGAAAAATAAATAAAAAAGAACCACAGGCGCCAAATTTATGGTTCTATTTGTAACATGACTTACGAAGTTCCCGAAATCCGATCTGTATTGCCTTTAGTTTCACTTCCTAGGAAAATCCTGGCCAACCCGAAATCCGAAATCTTAGGGTTCATGGACTCATCTAATAGGATGTTGCTGGCTTTTAAATCTAGGTGGATGATCCTGAGCTGTGAATCTTCATGCAAGTACAGCAGTCCTCGAGCAATCCCGATTATGATTCTGTACCTTGTTCCCCAGTCCAGGTCAAATCTTCTATTGGGATCTAACTTGTCAAGAAAACAAAAACCCAACACTCAGTTCTATCCCAACAGGAAGCTAGTGAGCTGGTGAGGAAAAAAAACACCAAATGATATGAGAATACCATATAAAATCTTGTCAAGGCTGCCATTAGGTATGTACTCATACACTAGCATCTTCTCTTCTTCTTCTAAGTAGAATCCTAACAACCTTACAAGGTTCATGTGCAGAAGTTTTGCCACCAACATTAATTCTGTTTTAATCTCTTCCAGGCCTTGCCTAGAGCTTGTTGACAGCCTTTTGACAGCGATTTCTTGTCCATCAAGCAACTTCCCCTGGCGGTATGAGTGAACATAAATGAGAACCAGGAGTATCCTGGTAAATACCTCCGAGGATCCAATGTTATACTGGATAGAAGGTACCTTGTAAACGGGTCCAAAACCGCCTTCTCCTAGTTTGTTTGATGAAGAAAATTCCATTGTTGCTGCTGTCAGCACGTTGAGGCTAACCAAAAGTGATGCAGCTCTTTCATCACCAACTGTTGCAGAACCATCTGTATGAATAATTTCAATACGAGGATAAAAATAACTGATATTGGTAAATCTCTGGTATGCGACAGGTTGAAAAGTTACCGAGATTTCTGCTCGAAGCCCGGACTCGAAAGAAGTAATAAACAGTAGCGCAAACAACTACTATCACTACCACAGAAGCTAGTACAGGTATAACCACCAAAGTAACAATGGTCTTCACTTTCTTGCCTGCATAACAAAACATGACAAAGAAAAAACTTCTAGCAATCGACCTCCAATCATCATATTCTGTCAAGAAGAAGCAAGAGGATTTTACCATAATCCTTGGAGGAATTGCTTCCACTAGATGTAGGGTTCGTTTGCAGCCATGGAGGTGCAGAAGAGGCAGCAGCTGGTGGTAGTAGCGACTGAAAGAAGGAATATCTTTCAAACCGGATATTGCAACTCAAAGCAAATATCCTCCCACCTGTTCGGTTAGCCATAAACCTCGGAATATTGTTAATCATAGCTTGCAGACAGTTGTAGCAATCGGTTCCAGACAAGTCAACTGTACACTGAACCATACCATGTACGTACTGGGAGTCTCCATATCTATCACTGCCAAAAGCCAGCCTTGAAGGATCAACAGCAGCAGTTGATGAAAGATTCTTAAACAATTCCCCCACTTGATTACTGAGTGCAACTGGGTCCGCTGCATTCTCATCGCCAATTAAACCCACTCTGGGGACAATATCAGCAAACGTGAAGAATTCCCAATCAGCATACTGCAATGTGCAGTCCCCATTCAATATGGAAGCTTCCTTCTGGTGAGGACACCTCTGTGTGATTTCAGCAGCTAATGCCTCTGCACAATATTGGCATGCTTCTGCAGAGGTATAACCTCTGCACTGTACGAGCCCATAAACAATGTCTGGACTATGGCCTGTGGTGGCTGTGAAGTAGCCAGTTCGAGAGGCGTTCGCAGCTAATGAAGCGAGGGTGAGGTTGAGATTTCGGTTGTAAGGGCTACCTGAAGTGTAGTTCATGTTGAGTTCGCAGCTGAAATGTTTTGCTCTCGTAACATGAAGAAGACATGAAACGCTCAAGAACAAGTGAGCGGCAAGAAAATATGATTCATATAGCTTCCTCATAATATTCACCAACTCTATCCGAGGGGTCTTCGAAGCAAATGAATCATTAGTCAGTCTCTGCAGAACAAGATATAAGGGATACATTTAACAAATATGTTGTTTTCCAACTCAAATCAGTTTCCTTTTGGTCAAAGAAGAAGAGAGAATGACCACCTGTCTTTATCAGACTCTGGTTTCTTTACGTATTTGATGTGCAGGCCAGCATAAAAGCCAAGGACCACCTATCAGGAACCTGCTCTTATGCGAATATTATTAAGGTAAGCAACAGAAACACATTGGTGGCAAGATTCTTCAGTTTTGAATAAGACGAGCAAATTTCATGGAAAGACAAACATAATAAGGTCAATGTCATGCAGGCCTGTATGAAAGCAATGAGAAATAATCAACCTTGGTAGGTCATAAAGAATCTTCAAACCACCTCAATTTCAGTGCATGGAACTCTTAAGCATCTTCAACTGACTTCTGCTCCCATTGGTCAAGTGATTATTTGGGTATGACTCATGAGCTATGTGATCATAGAAAGTGAACTTTGAGACAGATGTGAAACAAAAAGCGGAAGCATAAGGTACACCAGATCCATGGACTAATCATAATACGGTTCTTTAATCTTCCCCATTTAACAAGAATCTATGCTTTGTACAACCAGTAAATGGTACAAATTAATTCTGGAGATAATTTAGCTTTGCTATGTTAATCCAGTTAGTGTTCTTCAGATAGAACCTGGTTTAGGGTTGTATCGATCGAATGGTGGAATTGGGATTTAGGGATTAAAGAACAGAATTAGGGATTGAGATTGGAATTAGGAGAGGAAGAACAGAATAAAGAATCGACCGAAGCCTTGGACTAGGGAAGAAGAGAAATTAGAAGATAGGGAGAACTTAGAGTTTGGGAAGATAATTCTTTTACTGATTTCTGCTTAAAAACCTAATAATATTCTAATAAATTCTATTAATGATAATTATGATATAACCTGTAAATTGGGTTTCATCATCTTCCCATTCAAAGGGTACTAAAGGGTTGATCTGTGTTTTCTTGGATAGATACTGTCGTGGTATAAGAATCTTCCTTCACCAAATTTGGAGAAGCTATGTGCCGAGTGATTGAAAACCCAGTTAGTAAAGGAGTTCCACCAAGCTTAGTGTAGCTTCCAAGCTTCAATATGACATCAGAAATAGTTGGTCTCTTCTCAGCAGCTTCTTGAACACACAACAGTCCAATGTTGATGCACTTCAGAACCTCGTCTTTTTCAAATTCTTCGCCCAAGGTTGAGTCCACTATCTTCAAAGCTATTCCATTGATCCAATGCTTCCATGCCTTCCAAAGAAGTTCAAATATCAAGGTCAATGATCCAATTGCCATAAAGAAGAAACAAAAAATGTCAATGAGAGGCCTATTTAGCCTACATTATTACTTACATAACTTTGAAGATTCCTGGAGTTTTTCATGCCTGTTATGATCTCCAGTACCAGAATTCCAAAGCTATAGACATCCGATTTAGCCGAGTATCGCCCTCTTACTGCATACTCAGGTGCCATGTAGCCACTTTCATCCATCACCCAGAAGACAAAATACTACTAGTATGTTAATTGTTGTCTAAAACCAGTCATGCTAGAAGAAGAAGTTGGAGGAGGTTCAAGTTCTTACTATGTCCCAACGATCCTAGTTGTAATGCAATGATTTTGAGTTCCAGGGAAAAGTCTTGCCAGCCCGAAATCAGAAATCTTAGGCGTCATGGACTCGTCTAATAAAATGTTGCTGGCTTTCATATCCCGGTGAATGATCTTTAGTGGGCACTCTTCATGCAAGTATAGAAGTCCTCTAGCAATCCCAATAATGATATTGTACCTCATTGCCCAATTAAGTTTCAGTCTTCTATTCTGATCTGCATCAATCCATGATTAATGATTTGATGAAAAGACTACAACTACAACCACCACTTTGTCTATTGTTATTAGATCATGCCATGAATGTCAAGTAAAACAGAAAGGAAGTACCAAACAGAAATTTGTCCAGGCTCCCATTAGGAAGGTACTCATAGACAAGCAGCTTCTCATCTTCATCTATGCAGAATCCCAACAGCTTCACCAGATTCTGATGCAGCAGTTTAGCAACCAACATTACTTCTGTTTGGAGCTCTTCTAGACCTTGCTTGGAACTAGTTGATAACCTTTTCACAGCTATCTCCAGCCCATCCACCATTTTCCCCTGCCAGGTTCTTGTTTCAGATATTGTATAAACAACCTGCTGAGAATAATCCAGACATATTCACAAGACTTTTTCCCCCTGAAGTGCTGGATACCTTATAAACTAGACCAAATCCACCTTGTCCAAGCTTGTTTTCATCTGCAAAGTTGTTCGTTGCTTCTCTGAGTTTATCGAATTCAGTCAAAAGTGACCCCAAACTTCTGTTGTTATCCCCAACTGTTAAAGAAGACATTAAAACGCATATTCAATGACCTATATCTCTATGGTAAAGAGTTTAAGTTCGCACCTCCTTTCCTTCTGCGATTCTTCCAAAGCAAGAAACTATAGCAAGCAGACATAACCATCAAAGCAAGAGCTGCAGCCATCACTAGTATAACAATGATCTTAGAGGATTTCACTGCAACATCAATATATCAACATAAACGGCATTTTAATCATCCTCCTTCATTAGTTAAACCAGTGAAGAAAAGTTATATATACAACACATTTTTTTTTTTTACCAACCATGACTTGTTGACTGGTTTTCTTCTTCAAGCAATGAGAGAGCTGGAGGTTGAGCTAATCCAGGTTGAAAAGGTGGCAAAACTGAATAGAATAGATAAGTATCATACCGCAGATTACAACTCGGAGCAAAAAGAAGCCCACCTTCTTCTTTGTCCAGAAAAAGCAAACACTTCATGGAAACATTCAGTCAAGCAATCACTTTCTGAAATGCCTTTAGAGCATTGCATCAGAGCATAGATATTTTGAATTTTGGTATATCCAGAATTCCCAGAAGCTATCATGGAAAGACTCTCTGCAGCACGAGGCCACAGTGACTTGAGCAAAGCTTCCAAGTTGGTCCTGAGAAGAACGGGATTGGGTGCATTCACATTGTTCCATATGATGAAACGTGGGGTGCTATCCAGATCTGAGAAAAAACTCATGTCGGAGTACTGCAATGTACACTTCTTATTGTATATAGAGCCTTGCTTCTGGTTAGGGCACAGTTGGGTGATCTGAGTGGCCATGTTTGTTGCACAAGCTTGGCAGGCATTCCTGGGAGTATAACCGGTACACTGTATGAGACCGTAGACTTTATCTTGGCCCTAGCCAATGGAAGCAGTGGAGTAGTCATCAACAGGGGCATTAGAAGCCTAGGAATTGAAGGTCAGGTTCAGGTTCAGCTAATATGGACTTCCAGAAGTGTAGTTCCTGTCATTCTGACAAGTGAAGTAAACAGCTTGGACATGTTGGGAAAAATGATGAACCCATGAAAGTAAGAGGAGGAAGACCAGCAGATGCATAGTTAGATTGGTCAACAGCCTCTAACATTGCTTATGACTATCCGCAATTCTATTATGGTTTTCTTGTTATAGTTTCCTAAAGTGCTCATTTAGGTCCAAACACAAAACTCCGAAGTAAAGGTGCAATCTGCAGGCCCGCCAACCGCCTGCTGATGCAAAAAACTTGTACTAATGTTTTTTTATATATCGTTTGATGAATGCCAGAAACTGTATTAGTTAGAAGTAAACACACCAAAGGAGGATAAAAGACAAGATGAGATCAATGTGATGCTTGCCGGCCAATGATAAAAGGAACAAAGAAAGAGAGGACAAATTGATCGATTTCTTAAGTTACAAAGATGGAATTGAAACTAATTACATAAAGTAAAGAAGGGTGTATACAAGAAGACAAATTGACAGGCTTGCAGCATGTTAGAGTCCATACGCTAGACAGTCATTAAGTTTCACCCTGTGGCTCTTCAGTTTGGCATGATGATGAATGCACAAATAATAAACAAACTGAAAAAAATAGTCAAGGTAACTTCATAACCGGGCATATGTTTCAGTTATTGTCAGATTGTTTATCGCTTTGATCTGATTGAGAGGTTATAGGTTCTTCCACTACTGAACCAGACCTACTATCTCGATTGCTTATGTAAAATGCTGGCTTTGGTGGCGATGAAAAGTTGGATGTTTTGCTGCTAAGCATCCGAATAATGGATGACATTTCAGGCCTCTTGGAAGCAGATTTCTGGACACATAACAACCGATGTGGATGCACTTCAGAACTTCATGTTTTAGATACATGCGGACCAAGGTTCGATCCAGCAAGTTCAAGGCTTTCCCATCTAACCAATGTTACCATGCCTCGGAATTCATTAAAATCAATGCAAGTATAAAACTCACGTAGAAAAAATGGAAAGATAGTCACATTAATACGTACATCGCTCTAAAGATTAGAGTAGTTGCGAGCAGTAGTGATTCTTTCACCAGAAATGATCTCCAAGACCAGACTTCCAAAGCTATAGACATTAGATACAGTAGAGAACTGACCATTCTTGACATACTCTGGGGACATTTACCCGCTTTAATCATTAACAAAAGAAAAGGATGAGACTGAGTTTTAAATATGTTGACTCAGTGACTAGAAAGCATTTTTGTTTCTTTACCAAGTGCCCGCAACCTTTTATGTGCTGATGTGAGTCTGAGTTGCTGAAAAGAGTCTTGCAGTCCCAAAATCTGCAATTTTAGGGTTCATAGACTCATCCAACAGAATGTTCGCTCCTTTGAAATCACGATGAACAATCTTAAGACGCGAATCTTTGTGCAGGTAAAGCATTCCTCGAGCAATTCCAACATTGATTCTGTACCTTGTTTCCAAGTCGGTATGGACTTTCAGCTGCTTCATGAAAAGATTTTGCACATTTTACTTAGTCTGTTAATTGGATTTTCCACCCAAAAAGAAGGAGAAGACACGTTCCTGAAAAGACATAATTAATACCAGATAGTAGTTGGTCCAAGTTCCCAATGGAAATGTACTCATAGACAAGCAGCTGTTCCTTTTCTTGAGTGCATAGTGTAGTAACCTGTGAGGGACGCATTAGCAGCAAGTGACATCAGTGTCTGCTTCAGATTCTGCTGAAAGGAAATTCCTGAAGTGTAGTTTCCATTTGTGACACAGATCACATAGGGAATTTGGGCTCTAATGGGGTTGTCGAAATGAAGCAGCAGCAGAGATAGAAATATGAAAGATATCATGGACTTCATTTTCTGAAGCAGAGATGAGATGAGATCAGCCACAAGTGGGACAATAAATTAACCTTCCTAACCATTTAACACGGTTGCAAAAGGAAGATTTTTCCCAAGAAACGTGCCAACGAGCAGAAATATCTTCATATGATGTAGTCGTTCACATTGCTTAATGCAGAAAAGAAACGGAAAATTGTTGTTCCCATCGGTCTTCATCAAACCAATTGTTACTCGCCTCTTTTTTTTTTCCTTTCAAAACCAAAATCTTTTACCCATTCTAGGTTTTAGTGTTTTGGATCGGGGCCGAATTGGATTAAACCAGAGCAGAAACCAATCCAAACCAAACGGAGATATTTCTGCAATATTTTCCAGTCTTGATTGAGTTCCATCTCAACAAGTAAAATCGTTGGGATTGAACTAACCAGTTCAACCTCTTCTTAATTTCACATTCGATCCGATTCAAAATTGGTCTGCTCAGGTGCGGACCGTTGGACACCCCTGTCCACAGCCAGCTAAATCGAAAATCAAATCAACCAAAAGACTCAAATCTTTGCAGACCAGGGAGAAATACCAGAAACACATGGCAAGAAAGTTTGTTGCTTTGTTGACTACTCATTGGATGAAAATTTATCATCCATATTCTGTGTCCGTATAAGAGTACATTTTCCTATGGTTTCTTCTTCATTATTCTTAAAAAAAATTATCTTTAATCTCTATTTGCTCGCACAACAATCAAAAGTGGATTCTTTTCCACAAAGAAAAAGTCAAATAAGCCTCTGTATTCCCTCTTGATTTACTCCAAAAAAGTTGGGGCATTCATTTCCACTGCCTCTGCAAAACAGCTACAAGATCCCCAACCCTTGTCTGGATTTTCATCTCTCAAGCTCCATTCAACCATATGAATCTTGCAATGGCAACCAAGTATATATGTCTCGCAGCAAGACAAGTTTACCTATTTCATGTGAATCAGTTCATCTTCTTCACATTCCCTAATCGCAATCTCCATCACTTTGTTCCCAGAAGAAGGCAAAACTTCACAGCATTGGCGCCTTGGAGCCCGCAGCTGAATCAAATCGAATAAAATCAGCGATCAATAATCTTAATAGGTCAAAGAAATAATCAATCAGCAGCATCTACCATACCTGTTTGTCGCTGAGGTCAAGCTTATGCGAGACCACCTTAATCTCTTCAAGCCTTCTAGGTGAACCCATATCTTGCGAGCAATTTACAAACATCTTCTTGTAATGACTGGTCACCAACTGTTGATTATCACTCCCCTCCGAAGAAGCACGATCAAGAAAGAAAACTGTGGCTCTTCTGCATGGATCCGGGTGAGGCCGTCTGGTGTTGAAAACGTAAGTTGCAGCTAGAACGTCACCTTTGCTCCATTGCCTGAAAGTGGTTTGAACGGGAAGTACGTCCGGGAGAAGCATGTGATTGCCGTAGACCTCGACTGCGTAGCCCCATGAAATGGAAATGGTCCACGAGAACCAGCGATCATAGCACACGGTCTTCTGCAGAACCCTCTGGGAATCGATCTTTGCTGCCTCTAGTAAATGATTTACAGAATCCTGGGTTGTCATGTTAGGGAAGATCGCGTCGATGTGATCCATGTGATGGAGGGATACCAATGGTGTCGTTGGATGTGATGTCAGTATACCGAACATATTGCCATGGAAATCCAGCTGGAAAAGAAGCAAATCGTCAGTATGGAAACCGGCCTCTATTAAGATACCAGGGTGGTGATATTATATATCACCAAAATATGCTTGCCAAGCCATACATACCTGATGGAAACCGGGCTCTCGAGTTAACGTCACTCCAAGCTCGGCCAAGCAAGAAGAGATCCTGGAATCACTTCCATAAAGATGAGGGTACCTTTCGATACAAGAATCAAAAACCTTGGCAAGAACTTTAGCCAGCGGATAGCTAATAGCAAATCCTGCTCCACCATAGGCCATGTCAAACCCAAACAACCTATTCTGCTCGTAGATCTCCGAGTTCGACCCTATATAGTACCAAAGCCCGTGATCGTACTTCGATAATGTCTTCGCCAAGTTCTCCGGGAAGAAAACAGTGTCGTCGTCACCAAACACAAACCACCTGACGTCAGAATGATTCAGCGCCACCGTCTCGGAAACCACACGCGCCACCCGAATCGCCGACCTCAGACCGTTTTTGAAGGTGTAACGAAACCTGGAGGTGTCCTGAGAGATGCAGATTGGAGGGAGTGTGGAGTTGTCATTGCCAGAGGTGACATTGAAGTCATCAGGTGGCGCCTCGAGGAACACGCAGCCCCTCATCCCCATCTGCTGCTGCTGGTGTGGCTGCTTCCACCAGAGCTTGACGTACTCCTTCCGCTTCTGCCATGATTTCTTGTTGGAAGCAATCCCGAACACAATGTGCTCGAGAGTCGTCGGTGAGTGCTGTGAAGCTGAACTTTCCCAGGAAGTTACGCTCGTGAGCTTGGATGAAGCGACGAGGAAGAGCAAGACCAGAAGGTAAAGGGTGAGGATGGATGATGAGAAGATGATGAACCTGATGAAACGAGTAGAAGAAGAGTTTGGTTTAGAAGTTGAATGAAGAAGCTGCATTCTTTCCAACTGTGGAAGTTCTCTGCAGTCTCTGTCAGGAGTGAAGGTTTTGACTTTGAATTTGATTTTGATTTTGGATTTATAGGTTCAATCAGGCTCATATATCACAGGCGCAACTGAAGGTGGAAAAAGAAGCGAGTTGGCATCTTTTCTAAGCATTTAAGGAAATAGGTGGAGTTAGGCCTTACAAAAGGGAGGAAAAGTCAACTGTTTCATCCCAATCTAAAGAGGAAGCGAACTCTGCTGCTTTTACAATCAAAGCAACCCCCTTGCAGTTGGTTTTGGATTCATGTGGGAATTATTAAGGTGAATGGGTTGATCAAATTTTCAACAATCTCTCAATCAAATTTTCAGCAATCTCTAGTCCAAGAAAACATGGTTTCTTTCAATGAATTAAACTGCCAAAAACTTGTTCCCTACACATACACACTATTATTAGGGACGGCATATGAAGGGGAAAAAGAAACCCAGTAAAGTCACCAGGATGGTTCATGTTACCATTTCTTCAACAGGATAACCAAACTGCAGGCCTTCTTTTTTGTGCAACTTCTGAGTTCCGACGAAGCCGTAATTGAAGGTGAAAAGGGGCTTTCACCTTGTTTGTTCCTTTCAACTGTGATGAGATTGGAATCATCACATCAAACCAATGGTTGATTGACTTAACAAAAAGTTGCACAAGTTCTGCAGCGTACAACTCAATAAAGAACAGATGCATCGTATGAACATGTGCAACTTGCTTTGCAGTTCAATTGAAACATGTTAAGAATTTTTTTCTTTTGAACAGATCCAAAGCAAAGGGGTTCATCAGCCTGGTTTGAGTCAAACTAGTTAGTAGTTACTGCATGTTTACTCCTCGCAATACTAAAAAATGAGAACCATCTGTCAGCAGCCCAAACTCCCAAAAAAAAAAAAAGGAGGGGTATAGTATAGCTTCGATTCATAGAATTTGGTTACGGATATTGAAAGCGAAGTTAAGGATCCCGATCCCTTTTAAAGACAAGTGATCTACTATTCCTTACAAAGAGAACAACACCTTCCACTTTCCTAACCTTTTAAGGATTCAGCTCTCTGGATGTGAAAACTCCTTTGACTTCGAAGAATCTGGAAACAGAAACAGCACTTACTCCAGAAATCAAAACCTACATGAGAACACAATGTTCGTATCTAATAATCTATCATTTCTTACAAGTCAACAGAGAGAGAGAGATTCAGAACACACTGTATGCTGCTGTCACAACAATACATAACTGAAAGACAGAGCTGAGTAGAAGAATACCACAGGTGAGTTGTTCGTACCATCTTTCCAGCTTGGAGTTGGTCGATATGATGTGGCATTCCTTTCGATCTCTATCTACAAACCCAGATCATAAAACAGATTCCCTTGAAGCAAGCTATTCACATCGAAGCAAGTTTAGGGGGGTCTCTACTTCAGAGCTTGACCCAAGTAAACTAGTCCGCACAGATTCGGTAGAAGTCTGTTTTGACGCATCAAGGCCAATCCTCAAATTCCTCAGCAGTCGGGTCGAACCGAGCAACAGAATTCTTGCAGTTTTCTATTTCCTGAAAGAAGATAAGAGAATGACATTAATTAAATGAAGCTGTCACATAATTATCAAATGACACAGAGCTTATAAGCGAAGAATAATTACCAACGATTTAACATTGGACTGCTACTGATTCAAGCTCCAAACTACTTTCACTATAAACATGTATACATATTCCACAATCACTAGAGATGCATGGCAATCAGTTCATTATTTCCGCACTGTCTGATTCTAATAACCATGGATTTCTCAGATGAGGAAGAAGCATCACAACACTGCCGACGTGGAGCCCAAATCTGCAGGTAAAGAAGCAGTCAGCACAGCTGAAACCAAATTTTAAGTTGACGGTCAAAAGAATACCACATCAACTCATCCTTATACCTGTTCAGAATCAAGCGTCAATCTATCCGATGATACCTTGATGTACTCGAGATTATTTATGGCTCTAGAAGCCCTAGGGCAATCCTCAACATTGTGCCTAGTGTAACTGCTCCAAATCCCGTCTTCACCAGACTTAACATTTTTCATAAAGAAGACAGCAGGCCTTTTGCATGGATCTTTAGGATAGGGTCTCATGGTGAACATGTAATAGCCAGCAAGTGGGTTTCGATGTCTTCTCCACGGCGAAAAGGTCTGCTGCAGCGCGAGGAGATCAGGAAGACGCTCATTCCCTTCAAACACCTGAATCGAATAGCCCCACGCTATTGAAACAGTGAAGGAGTTTGTGTGGTCATAACAAACTACTTGCTGCAGGATCCTAGTTGGGTCAGTATGCACAGCCTGGAAAAGATGTTCCATAGCCTGAGTTTGGTTCATGGTGGGAAAAACAGGGGTTGAAGCTTCCAGATGATGAAGAGATATCAATGGCGACAATGGATGAGCTGAAAGCAAACCGAATAAACTCCCACGCAAATCAACCTGACACCATAGAACTAAATAAATAAACTTTCTTCCATGATGATGGATATTGGCTAAAACTCATTATTCTTCCCCAGCCAAGAGTTGCATTCTCAATGTCCTGATACATTTCGAATTGAAAAATTGATGGGAAGACTTTGAAGCTTGAGATTCACCTGGTGGAAGCCAGGCTCGTGAGTCAGCCCAACACCCAACTCGGCCAAGCAAGAGAAGATCCTGGCATCGCTGCCGTACAAATGGGAGTAACGCACCAAGCAAGAGTCCAAAACCCTAGCCAAAACCCCAGCCAAAGGGGAACTGATTGCAAAACCGCCACCGCCGAAGCCCATATCGAATGAATGCTTCACGTTCTGCTCGTAGCTCTCGGAATTGCTCCCTATGTAGAACCACCGCGTGTGATCGTACTTCGACAGCGTCTTAATCAAATTATCGACGAAGAAAACCGTATCGTCGTCGCCGAAGACGAACCACCGCACGCCGGTTTGATTGAGCTCCACGGCTTCCTTCACAACCCGCGCAACTCTGATTGCAGATCGCAGCCCGCCTTTGAAGGTGTAAGGGAATCGAGATGTGTCCTCGGAGATTATCACCGGAGGGAGATCGGAGGGGAGATCGGAGGGGAGATCGGCTGGGACGGCGTCCAGAAAGGCGAAAGCACGGGTGGCGTTGGGCTCGTACCAGAGGTTGATGTAAGGTTTCCGGCGGAGGAAGGCGCCGTAGGATGAGGCTATGGAGAAGAGGATGTGGCTGCGAGTGGTGGGGGCGGAAGACGTAGTGAGATCGGCACGATCTGACGGCGGAGCTCGCGGCAGAGGGTTGCGGAAGGTGAGGTAGACTACGGCGAGGAGGGAGAAGAGGAGGAGGAGGTCTTTCAGGCGGGAAGGTGTAAGAGTGAAGTTTCTGATCGGGGGCATTCTTCTGGGAGTCGGAACGGGACACTCGCCGGCGGCAGTGGACGTGGTCGGGGGAAAATGGGCTCCGGAGTCGGGAAGAAGAGACTGATGCGTGCGTCTCTTCCAACTGTCCGCCGCGAAAACAAAATGGTTATTGGGTTAAGAGGCTAGGATGGATCTTGAATCGTTCGTCTTTGGGCTTTCGGCCTCTAATGATGGTAAAATTGTTTGGGCCTTATACTTTGCAGGCACACTATTGTAGAGGAGAATCACCCAAATCAAAACACTTGGCTGGATGGTTTACCAACGAACGACAAAATGGATGTTTAATTCGAGCGATCATTAATTTCTCTTTATATTAAAAATTATAAATTAACCATCTAAATGAAGTCGCAGTACTAATTAATTTAAAGTTAATCTAATTTAATAGTGATATATTAGTAATAGGTGGATGAAAATTTATGATTTGTTTGAATTACGAATTTATCATTCAATTGCCGTTACACTTTAGAATTATTGTGAATGTGTTGTAGTTCTCTATCAATTATTAATAACAAAATACGATTTTACTTGAAAATATACACTATAAATTTTCAAAATGGGCACACGGTATATGTTAGGGTTTAACGCCTTTGTCAAAGTGATAATTCTCAATCATGTGTCAAGTGTCTTGACTTTCAAATAACAAATAATTTTATCTGGTGATCAAACATCTTTGTTAAGAAATTATATTCAAGCATCATAGGTTACTGTACAATGTATATATTATCAAGAGTGGATATATTAGGTGTTGAGGCACATGGGTCTACCAAGGATATAAGTCAATGTTATATAATTGAAATATCAAGAGTGGATATATTAGGTGTTGTTTTCCTAAATTTTACATGATAAGCCCATGATAAATGTTATAAATGCGCTGCTACGGATCGGAAAATCGTCGGAATCGATAAAACAAGAATACGAAAGCGAGAATCGAAAAACACAGACACATGATTTATGTGGTTCACTAACACGATGTGTGTTAGCTACGTCCACGGGCGAGAGAGAGCCAGTTTCACTATATCGAGGAGATTACAAATTACAGAGGAGTATGAGAAGTATTTATAGTACTTCTCCATGTGGGTCTAAACCTAATCCAATCTGGCAAAGGAAACGGTTACAGACCAGGCCCAGAACCCGAACCCAAATAACATTGAGCCCATACACCGCGGCTGATAGTCCGATTCAAGTCACATCAACAATTTGCATATAAACTTTAACGCCAACAGAGAGACCCCCGACTACCAGTCGTAGCGGCTGATAGTCCGATTCAAGTCACATCAACAAATCTCCACCTTGACTTGAATCCTCTTCCTCTTAAATCTCTGATGTACTCTGCTCCTTCTCTCTCTCTCTCTCTCTCTCTCTCTCTCTCTCTCTCTCTCCCGCCATCAATGCCCCGTAGGGCGGAGTTACCCACTCAAGACATTCATCAAGTCCAAACAGTGTTGGAACTTGCCATGTGGAACTGGCTTCGTGAATATATCAGCAGGATTATCCGCGGTGCCAACCTTCTTCACCTTAATCCTCTTCTCTGTCCTCAAGAAATGATACCTCATGTCGATGTGCTTAGTTCTCTCATGGTGGACTTGATCCTTGGCCAAGCATATTGCACTCAAACTGTCGCAATACACCACTGCCTGATCATGATGTAGACCCAGATCACCAACCAGTCCATTTAACCATATTCCTTCCTTAACAGCTTCTGTCAATGCCATATACTCTGCCTTAGTAGTAGACAATGTCACCGCCGACTGCAAAGTTGCCTTCCAGCTCACTACAGAACTCCCAAGAGTGAATTCATAACCGGTCATCGATCTCCTCGTGTCAACATCTCCAGCATAGTCCGAGTCAGAATACCCAGACACCAAGCACTCTGTATCACTTCCGAAGCTAATCCCCCCATCAGGTGTACCCTTAAGGTACCAGAAGATCCTCTTCACAGCCTGCCAATGCTCCTTCCCAGGTTGTATCATAAAGTTGCTGACAACACTAACAGCATGTGCAAGATCAGGTCTAGTGCATATCATAGCGTACATCAAGCTACCTACTGCACTAGCATATGGGACTCTCGACATGTACTCCATCTCAGCCTCTGACTGCGGTGCATAAGCTGGGGATAGATGAACATTTGAAGCACTAGGAGTATTTAAGGGCTTTGCTGAAGACATGCCAAACCTCGACAATATCTTCTGGATGTAGCTCTTCTATGACAAGAAAAGCTTCTTCTTCGACCTGTCCCTGTAAATCTCCATACCCAAGATCTTCTGAGCAGCTCCCAAATCCTTCATCTCAAACTCAGCAATGAGAAGCCCCTTTAACTTCTGGATATCAGACTTCGACCTCGCACCTATGAGCATATCATCCACATACAGAACAAGATAGATCATCGAACCATCATCCACCTTGTTGTGATACACACAATAATCATATGGACTTCTGTTGTTGCCTAGCTCAAGCATGTAACTGTCAAATCTCTTGTACCGCTGCCTCGGAGACTGCTTAAGTCCATACAAGGACTTCTTCAGCTTACAAACATAGTCTTCTTTTCCCGGAACCTCGAATCCTTCTGGCTGAGTCATGTAAATTTCTTCCTCCAACTCTCCATGTAGGAAAGCTGTCTTCACGTCTAGCTGCTCGAGCTCCAAGTCATAATGTGCCACTATTGCTAGTAGCACTCTTATCGAAGTATGTCTGACCACTGGTAAGAAAATCTCATTGTAGTCAACTCCTTCCCTCTGCGAGAAGTCTCGTGCAACCACCCGAGCTTTAAATTTCATGCCCTCGTTAGAAGTGATTCCTTCATTCTTCTTGTAGATCCACTTGTTTGTAACAATATTCCTTCCCTGTGGTCGTTTAACTAGCTCCCAAGTCTGATTCTTGTCATGGGATTCCATCTCATCTCCCATTGCGGCAAGCCACTAATTAGCTTCGCCACCCGAAACGACTTCTCTATAGGATTGTGGCTCACCTGTATCCACTTCTTCAGCAACCTGAAATGAATATGCCACCATGTCCTCGAAGCCATACCTCTGTGGAGGTACCCCTGCAGTCGCTCTCTTCGGTCTACCGGAAGCTATAGACTATTGAGCTCCTACACTGGACTGTGAAGTTTCTGATTCCTGTCATGGGATTCCATCACATCTCCCATTGCGGCAAGCCACTGGCTCACCAGCATCCACTTCTTCAGCAACCTGAAATGAATACGCCACCATGTCCTCGAAGCCATACCTCTGTGGAGGTACCCCTGCAGTCACTCTTTTCGGTCTACCGGAATCTATAGACTGTTGAGCTCCTGCACTGGACTGTGAAGTTTCTGACTCTGTAGAAACATGCTCATGTTGATCATCTCCACCTTGGTGCTCAAATTCACTCTCATTGAGAGTTTGAAGCTCCACCTGCTTATCAACATTCCTGCTACCTTCAACAACAGTAACCTTCAACATGGGGTTAAACATAGACTTCTCATCAAATATCACATTTCTACTGAGTATAACTCGATGCTCAGAAGGTGACCAGACTCGAAGTCCCTTAACTCCATCTCCGTAACCCACAAATACACCCTTCTTTGCCCTTGGGTTCAGTTTACCCTCATCCACATTATAATAAACAGGACACCCAAAAACTTTCAGTGAAGAGTAATCAGCAGGCTTACCATACCATACCTCATAAGGAGTCTTCAACTCGATACCTGTGTGAGGTCCACGGTTGATCAGGAAGCACGCCATGTTCACTACTTCTGCCCAAAATCTTCTCTCTAGTCCAGCATTAGAGAGCATGCACCGTGCTCTCTCCAACAATGTCTGGTTCATCCTTTCTGCAATGCCATTCTGCTAGGGTGTATCTCTCACGGTCCGATGACGGGCAATCCCTTCATCCTTGCAGAATTCGTTGAACTCAGAATTACAGAACTCCAGACCATTGTCCGTTCGCAGCTTCTTGATCTTCTTACCGGTTTGATTCTCCACCAATGTCTTCCACTACTTGAACTTCGTGAATGCCTCACTTTTCTGCTTCATCATGAAAATCCAAGTAAATCTCGAATAATCATCAATAATAGACAGAAAATACCTGCTGCCTCCAATGGATTCAACTCGTGAAGGACCCCAGCAGTCGGAGTGGAGGTAATCCAGTATCCCCTTCGTCCGGTGGATACCCTTCTTGAGAAACTTGCTGCGATGTAGCTTCCCAAACACACAATGCTCGCAGAATTCCAAATTCTGCATCTTGTGCCCGCAAAGAAGATCCCTCTTCGACAGAACTTGCATTCCTCGTTCACTCATATGCCTCATTCTCATGTGCCAGAGAGTGGTCATATCTTCATGATGAACCTGAGACGATGCAACTGCAGCAGAACCAGACAACACAGACCCTTGTAATGCATACAAGGTCCCACGCTTCACGCCCTTTAGCACCTTCCTTGAACCTTTGCAGACATACACAACTCCACCTTTTCCTTTGAAACTGAAACCCTTGCTGTCGAGTAGACTCAAGGAGATCAGGTTCTTTGTCATTCGTGGAACATGCCTGACATCATTCAAAGTACAGAACAAACCATCATGTGCCCGAACCTTTATGGACCCGATTCCAACAACATTGCAGACAACTCCATTTGCCATGACCACGTTACCACCATCTATCTGCTCGTAGGTTGTGAAGCAATCCCTGTTCGGAGACATATGGTATGAGGCTGCAGTATCCAGAAACCATACATCCCCACGATGTGCCTTCTCATCTACAGCCAAGGCGAGACCGTTGCCCTCTTCTCCTGGGACAGTTGTACTTCCAATGCCCCACTTCCTTACAATTGTGACAAGCATCACTTGGCTGTGGACCGGGACCCTTGGAATTCTTGTTAGAATTCCCTTTACCAGATTTCTTCTTTCCCTTTCCACCTGTAACAGCCAAACCTGATGCCTCACCACCTGTACCAGATCCGGACACCTTATGTCTGATCTCTCTCGTATGAAGAGCAGACCTGACATCCTCTAACGACACGCTTTCTTTTCTGGCAATAAAAGAATCAACGAAATTCTCATATGAACTCGGCAAAGAAACCAGCAGGATTAGGGCAGCATCCTCGTCATCAACTTGAGCATCTATATTACGCAGATCCAGCAAAATAGAGTTAAGCTGTTCGAGATGTTCCCTCAAAGGCGTACCTTCTTGCATCCTCAAGCTGAACAACCGTTGCTTGAGATGCAGCTTGTTGGTTAGAGACTTAGTCATGTACAGACTCTCTAGTTTCAACCACAAGCCCGCGACAGACTTCTCAGCAGCGACTTCAATGATGACATCATCAGAAAACGATAGCATGATGGTCGAGTGGCCCTTCTCCTCCAAGGTATTCCACTCATAGTCATCGACCACTGCCTTCTTCTGTTTTGTAGACAGCGGCCCCCACAGCCCTTGCTGTTTTAATAAAGCCTGCATCTTGATCTGCCATATAGCAAAACTGTTCTTCCCCGTGAACTTTTCGATCTTCATGTTTACCGACGTCATTCTTCTGAATCGAAAAACCCTAACCTGATTTCCAGCCGCGGCTCTGATACCACTTGTTATAAACGCGCTGCTACGGATCGGGAAATCACCGGAATCGATAAAGCAAGAATATGAAAGCGAGAATCGAAAAACACAGACACACGATTTACGTGGTTCACTAACATGATGTGTGTTATAAACGCGCTGCTACGGATCGGGAAATCACCGGAATCGATAAAGCAAGAATACGAAAGCGAGAATCGAAAAACACAGACACACGATTTACGTGGTTCACTAACATGATGTGTGTTAGCTACGTCCACGGGCGAGAGAGAGCCAGCTTCACTATATCGAGGAGATTACAGATTACAGAGGAGTATGAAAAGTATTTATAGTACTTCTCCATGTGGGTCTAAACCTAATCTAATCTGGCAAAGGAAACGATTACAGACCAGGCTCAGAACCCGAACCCAAATAACATCGAGCCCATGCACCGTGGCTGATAGTCTGATTCAAGTCACATCAACAATTTGCATATAAACTCTAACGCCAACAGCGAGACCCATCAACAATAAACATGCCACCTACCAATAACCATCAATTGAATTTCTTAATTTAGAAATATGTATTGCTTAGATTATTGACTCAAAATAAGTGATTAAATATTGAATTTGTTATATATAATTAGTTTTATTTATGAAATATATAATTAGTTTATAGTATGTCAAGGTCTCCTAAACGGCTAAACCCAATTTGTTTTGATGCATATAAACCCAAATTAAGATTACACGAAAATTACATAAATATTTTTTTAATACTAATAACAATCGAATAATTCATTTAAAAATATAATTCAAGTATAATAAATATTAATTAATAAGATGATAAAATGAGGCCGCATGGTCAACGAACTGGCACGAAGCTAATTTATAATAATGTCGATCGTATGGAACATACATGGCACCATAATTTGCCATTTCAGCTACCGAATAACTCTTTAAAAGTTTATATTTCTATAGAGAAAGGTTGCAAATATGGAGCAACTCATTGAAGAATTTTTTTTAGAATTTTCACATTGCAAATGAGAATATGCTTTGATTCTCCAGTAATGGATCATATTGAAAAGTGTTCAAAATTATCACAAACTTCAAAACAGAAAACTTTGAAAAATCTCAGTTTGCTTTAAACTAAATTGAGCTAGCAAATATACATATTTATAGGATGGTGATAAATATTTCGTTAAATATTTATTTAATATCGGATTTCTTCCATTTCATAGTTTCCATACTAAACACATATAATCACTATATATATAACACATTTAATATTTATATTTAATTAAATAAATTGATAATTTGAAAAAATTTATTTTTAAATAAGAGTTAATATCATTTTATATCCATGTATTATTATAAATTGAAAACTATCACTTTACTATTTCTTTTTAAATATCATTATATTGTCAAAGTGTAACAAATCGTATTGTTTACGTAAAAATAAAACCCATGAGAAATTTAATTAATTTAGTTTTTTAATGGGAAAATAAGATTTTCGGCCCCTGTAGGCATGTACTATTGCGAATTAACAAACATGCCCATGTACTATTTTATTGCACAAACATGCCCTCTATATCTATTTTAAAAATTTATGGAACCATAATTTTAGTTTTGTTCTGATTGATTTGAATCAACGAGATGTTGGGCGCAATGGGTGAGAATATCAGGCAAATATATTGCACTAAGAAATCACACGCTTGTAAAAAGTTCACAGGTAAGATGGACCTGGTGGCAGAGCCTCGAGAATTACGGTAACCAACTTACTTAGATCAATTTACCTCGGTAATTTAATAATGCAATATACTACGACTATTCTCAAAATAACAACAAGCATAGATAATAATAAATAACACCGAGGATTTACGTGTTATACCCTGATTTTGGGCCAGTCCACGGGAACAACAGCTCTGGAGTACTTCTTTACTATAACAATGGTAGGTTACAGAGATTTTCTCGATACAAGAAATAGAACACACGGTGTTTCCCAAACAACCTCACTATTACACTCACAAGGAAATCTCCTATCTACCCATGATTGTGAAAACGTTTCACAACCGAAACCACAAGAAAGAAATAGAACCGAGAGCTAGCAAAGAAGAATGATGAAGATGGAAAAATGGAATGGTTTTAGAAGGGAACTAGGCGTCCCTTTTATAGGAGAAAATGGAGGGGACATATTCAATTGGAATGGTTGGGGATATGCACCATCCAACTGCATTTGCCACCTGCATCTTACCATTATTGATTTTTTTTTTCTTTTTCTCAATTACCATCGCCAATCTTGTTGGCTGCTTCTCCACCACATGAGGAGCGCACAACAATTCTTCCCCGCCCTACTACATGTGCGACTTCGTCATCCCTGCAGCTGATCGACAGAACTTAAACTTTTCTCTTGGAAGAGTCTTGGTACACATGTCATATCCATTTTCATTAGTATGGATCTTCTCTAGTTGTAACCGCCTCATTTCAAGCACATCCCGGATTCAATGGTATCGAACATCGACATGTTTTGATCGGGCATGAAATGAAGCATTCTTCGCTAGTTGAATAGCACTCTGACTGTCACAGAACAACTGTGGTCGTTCCTGTTGGAACCCAAGTTCATTCAAGAACTTCTTCCTCCATAACATCTCCTTGCACGCTTCCGTTACTGCTATATACTCAGCTTCTGTAGTGGAAAGAGCTACACATTCTTGTAGCCTTGACTGCCACGATATTGCTCCCCCTAATAAGGTTATCAGGTACCCAGAAGTGGACCTCCTCGAATCAACATCTCCTGTCAGCATATCATCCACATAGAGCAAAAGTATGATGAAATCTCCATCTGGAAATTTCTTCACGAACACGCAGTGGTCTGAAGTAGTCTTCTTGTAGCCTTGCTCCCCCATAACAGACTCAAACTTCTTGTACCACTGCCTTGGTGCCTGCTTTAAGCCATACAAGCTCTTTCTGAGCCTGCACACATAGCCCTCCTTGTAGGGATGATAACTTTGCCCATACCCATGGGTTTCTTACTATCCAACTCAATTGGGTTGAGTATGAAATCCAAATAGATGGATATGGGGTAGAGTTTGATGGGTTTGTACCCATACCCATTTACTTTGGGTTGAGTTGGGTTTATATCAAATGGATTTGGGTTTGTACCCATGCCCAAATACAAATTACAGTTTGATACCCAAACTTAATAGGTATGCATATTTAGTACCTAAAATTAATTTTTTTGCACATAAGTCCTCAAAATATCAATGGAAAATTACGTTTTGGTACCTAAATTTTTTTGGTCTTACATTTTGGTACCTAAACCTTTCAAGTTTTACAAATAGGTCCAATTTTTGCATGTGTAGTTAAAACACCCTCAAGTAAATGGATATTCATATCCAACCCATACCCATTTAGATTATGGAAGCAATATTCATACCTTACCCAAACCCATCTATAAACCCCCAAATCCATATGCACTTCACCCATACCCAACCCATTATCAATGGGTCTACTTGGCTTTGGGTATAATTACCCATGGGTGGGTAATTTGCCATCCCTACCTCCTTGTTCTTCTTCTTGAAGCCTTATGGTTGCTCCATGTAAATCTCTTCCTGCAAATCACCATGAAGAAAGGCAGTTTTCACATCCATTTTTTCAACCTCCAGGTTAAGACTTGCTGCTAGTCCCAGCACAGTACGAATGGATGTCATTTTCACCACAGGTGAAAATATATCGTCAAAGTCAATGCCTTTCCTTTGACTGAAGCCTTTCACGACTAGTCTGGCTTTGAAGCATGGCTGACGGTTGTGTTCATCATGCTTGATCTTGAACATCCACTTGTTCTTCAAAGCTCTCTTGCCTTTTGGCAACTTTACCAGCTCAAATGTGTTGTTCTCATACAAGGAATCCATCTCGTCTTTCATAGCTTCTGTCCACTTCTGCTTGTGTTCGTCATTCATAGCTTCTATGAAGCTCTCTGGTTCTCCGCCGTCAGTAAGTGAGACGTATTCAGTCTCGAGATATCTGGTAGACGGTCGTGAACTTCTACCAGATCTTGTTGTTCGAACAGGAGAACCTTCTATGGCTGGTGGTTGACCATCGTCATCAGCATCTTCTGGTTGAACCTCCACATGGGCATCTGGTTCAACTATCTCAGGATGATCATGTTGTACTTCTTCTCCAACTTCTGTAGGCACTGGTGTTGGAGGCACTAGCTCAAGGTTTGGCTGGCTAGCATCAGTACTAGGAACTTCTTTCCTAGCAACAACATCTTCGATGGTCTCATTCTCGATGAACACAACATCACGGCTTCTGATAAGCTTCTTCTGGATGGGATCAAAGAATCTATAGCCAAACTCATTTTGACCATAGCCAATGAATACGCACGGTCGCGTCTTTGAATCCAACTTTGACCTTTCATCCTTTGGAATATGGACAAAGGCCTTGCAACCAAACACCCGCAAATGTTTGTAGGAAACTTCTTTTCCTGTCCACACCTTCTCTGGGGCGTCATACTTCAGTGGCACACTGGGTGACCTGTTCCACACAAAAACTGATGCAAGCAGTGCCTCCCCCCCAGAAAGATTGTGGTAGCTTCGAGTGTGATAACAAGCACCTGAATCTCTCTAGCAGGGTCCTATTCATCCTCTCAGCTAGCCCATTCAATTGCGGGGTCTTTGGTGGTGTGAATTGCTTCCGAATTCCATGTTCCTTACAGAAGGTAGCAAACGGACCTCTGTACTCTCCACCATTGTCAGTCCGGATGCACTTCAGCTTCTTGCCAGTCTCCCTCTCCACCAGGGTTAGGAATTGCTTGAAAACGTCTAGGGCCTGATCCTTGCTCTTCAAGGTATACACCCAAGTATTCCGTGAATGGTCATCAATGAATGTCACGAAATATCTGACACCTCCAAGTGATTGGACATTGACATCGGGTTCACAGAGATCTGAGTGAACTAGATCCAACACGTTCTTCACTCTTGAAGGGATGTAACTTTTGAAATCAACTCAGTTTTGCTTTCCCGCAAGGCAATCAACACACTTCTTTAAATGAACATGATCCAACCCAACTATGACTTTCTTCTGGGCCAAATTTGCCATGGACTTCTAACTCATGTGACCAAGCCGTTTGTGCCACAATTCAATTGTGTCACCATTCTCCGCTAAGTTGACAATCTCTGGGGAGATCTTGGCTTCCGTCACATACAGCTTTGACAGCTTCTTGCCCTTGGCCAACACCAAGGAGCCTTTGGTGAGTTTCCACTGCCCATTGTGGAAGGTGTTGCAGTAACCTTCCTCATCCAACTTGTCTACAGAGATGAGATTCAGGCGCATTTCTGGAACATGCCTGACATTCTTCAGCGGTAGCTTCGTATCATTCATCGTCTCCAAGTAGACTTCTCCTTTTCCGATAACTTTGGAAAGATTACCATTTCCCATTCTTACCACACCGAAGTTACCTGATGTGTAAGATGAGAAAAATTCTCTCTTGGACGTCACGTGGATGGTAGCCCCACTATCAACCACCCAGCTTGTCTCCTGGGTTGTTAGGTTGACAACATCTTCCTCGTAGACAATATTGAACTCATCAATAGAGTTTGCACCATCATCATCACTATTCTCATCTTGTTTGCCCTTCCTTCTCTCGTTTCTGAACTTTGGGCAAAATCTTCTGATGTGGCCCTTTTCCTTGCAGTGATGACAATTGATATTGGCAAACTTGTTGGACTTCCCTCGACTCTTGCCTCTTTGCTTCGAGACTCTCGCTTCACTTCTTCCTCTGCTTCTGGAATCCACCGCCAAAAGGTCTGACTGGGAAGATGATGAGGATGCACCTTGTGATCTTTTCCGCATCTCTTCATTCAGAACCCCACTTTTGACGATCTCCATGTTGATAACTCCATCTTTCGCAGAGTTGGTAAGTGAAATTTTTAGTGTCTCCCAAGATTCTGGAAGGGAAGCCAGAATGAGGAGAGCGACCACCTCATCTTCCATCTTTATGCCCATATCGGACAACTGATCCATGATTCCTTGAATTTCGTTCAAGTGATCCGCCAAGGATTTGCCTTCCTTGTATTTCATCTGGACCAACTTGGTCAGATAAAATAATTTGTTGTTGCCATCAGGTTTAGTTGGGCTAAACACCGGCAAATGCAACTCCGTCACAAGTAGGAGATCCTTCATCTTGTTTCTCCATATGTGATAGTTTGAGCCATTCAGACTTATTATCTTGCTTGTTTTTGCCTCCATTGGACGTGGCTCTGATACCACTTGTTGGGCGCAACAGGTGAGAATATCGGGTAAATATATTGCAATAAGAAATCACACGCTTGTAAAAAGTTCACAGGTAAGTTGGACCTGGTGGTAGAGCCTCCAGAATTACGGTAACCAACTTACTTAGATAAATTTACCTCGGTAATTTAATAATGCAATATACTACGACTATTCTCAAAATAACAACAAGCATAGATAATAATAAATAACACCGAGGACTTACGTGGTATACCCTGATTTTGGGCCAGTCCACGGGAACAGCAGCTCCAGAGTACTTCTTTACTATAACAATGGTAGGTTACAGAGATTTTCTCGATACAAGAAATAGAACACACGGTGTTTCCCAAACAACCTAACTATTTCACTCACAAGGAAATCTCCTATCTACCCGTGATTGTGAAAACGTTTCACAACCGAAATCACAAGAAAGAAATAGAACCGAGAGCTAGCAAAGAAGAATGATGAAGATGGAAAAATGGAATGGTTTCAGAAGGGAACTAGGCGTCCCTTTTATAGGAGAAAATGGAGGGGACATATTCAATTGGAATGGTTGGGGATATGCACCATCCAACTGCATTTGTCACCTGCATCTTACCATTATTGTTTTTTTTCCTTTTCTCAATTACCATCGCCAACCTTGTTGGCTGCTTCTCCACCACATGAGGAGGGCACAACACGAGATTGGGCTTGTTAGCATGAATCAGAGAAGTAGTAGTCAATTTAGGGTTTTGGGTTCTTTAGTTATGATTAATTTTGATTGGAGCCTTACCTAAGAGGCAAATAGGATAAGTGTGAATTTCCTCTGCTTTTGCTCGTCGAAGGAATTTCAGTCTCCCACGATCGCGGTCGTGCTGGACGAGGATCCCTACAGCAAGGCAGCTTCGGCCGACTACCCCTGCACCAATGCGACGTCGACCGAGTTGGTGGACGCCGGACGAGGGTGGTCGGGATCGATGACAATCGACTGGTCACTCTTGGTAGAAGGGAGAAGGTGAACGGATTACGACTGTAGCTTACGGGATTGCTTTTTTTTTTTCTTTTCTTAATTCGACTGTAACTAGTTCAAAAGTAGATGGCATTTTGTTATTAATCAGGGGTAGTTGGATAATTTCTGACCCTATTTAACCGTGAGAAAACAAAATTTCTAATGGAAGGGTATTTCTGTTACGTTGGAATATTAGAATATGTTTGTGCGGAAAAATAGTACATGGGAACGTTTGTTAATTCGCAATAGTACAGGAGCAGAAAATGCTATTATCCGTTTTTAATTAAAAACTTTGTTTTTTACTACTTTGAGTTATTTTTATTTCTGATATAAAAATATTTAATAAATTAGTGCCAAATTGGTAATTTTTATACTCATTTAACATAATTAATAATTTTTTGTATGGAATGGTACTTTAGTACGTTTTGATAATAATGGGGTGTCTTTGTTAATATTCACTAGTACAGGAATATAAATTACTATTAAACTTTCAAATAATTAATTTAATCTATTATAACTACTTACACAAAATGTTTATTATATATAATGCAACTTTCATTATTTTGTTGCATAAAAAATTGAGCGCAAACTGTTCATTGCATGAAAAAAATGTCATATTTTTTAGAGCAAACTGTTCATTGCATGAAAAAGAATGTCATATCGCAAAAAATTGAAGGTCATGTGGATCTTGAAGGCATAAAATTATCTTTCATAGTGTATGACTTATGTGCGTGTTTATTGAACTTCCATGAGCCTTCTACGTACGAGAAGAGAAAGGAATGAGTCATTGGCTAAAGCAAGAATATTATTATATATGATATCTCAGGTGTTCTGCTGCAGATGTAATTCGCTTTCACTTGTCATGCATGTCGACATCTAAGAGAGCCAGCCGACGACACTGTTGAGAACTCTGTTGTATGATAAAAGCAAAGATGAATGAAGCAAAAAGTTTGAAAAGTAAGAAAAAAATGGTACAAAAAGAAACATGTGTGTAGGTTTCCAAAGTGATCTAGAGGGACATAACCTGTTAACAACAATGGTTTGGAGTTAACCAAATAACACCTTATCCACTCTTCAAAACGTGGAAGAGACTGATTTTCTGACCTGCAATTCCATATGCAAGAGTTACTTAAAAATACTAAACATTATGCGGAGAAACGTTTTCACTATTATTAAGGATCGTAAACTCGATAATTATGATAAGACATCAATAAAAAATGTGGAGGTACAATCTGTAGAATAAAAACAAGAAAATAGAAACACAATCATAAAACAACATAAGACACCCAAAACATGTCCCAGGGAAAAAAGCGGTGACAAAAGTCAATTACTGAATGCAAAAAATAAGTGTAGGCAAGCTGATAAATTCTCAAAAAGGAAAGTAAGTTGTCGAACCTATGTTTTTATCCACGATCTTATGACCAAACAATCAAGAAAACTAGTTAGCTTTTAATAATAATCAAATCATACGCACCGCAACTTGCAAAAGCCAGTTTCCATGACTTAATAAGATGCCATCATTGACAAATAAAACCAAAAGATGGTTGGTAGCTTCATTTCAGAAGTCGCTTGTTGGAGTATTAGGGTCATAATCGTATGATTCACCAGCTTTGACAAATCTTCCTTTCACTCTTTTTCTTGTATCAGCCCTCGCTTTGCGAGATGCGTATCTTATTTGCTTCCCAAACCTACAAACACACTACACAAATCATTACGTGCATTTGAAATATTGAAAGGCAAGCAGATTTAGGATAGACCATCACGAGGATTTTGTATAATTTTTTTTTCCAGATCCAACTGAAAACACCATGAGCCTACACCAATTTGCAAAAACAATGGAAAATTTGAATAATAGGCTTCAGAGGGACACCAGAAGTTCGGGCAAAAAACACAGATCATACTTAAATTTTTGGGGGTATATGAAAGGGGTCAACATATCCTACTAAAACTGATGCGATAACAAATTATAGCATCCTGCAAAAGGTTAAACATGAGTAAGAAGAAGATGATTGTTGGAAATGAAAGATGCATACCAACATAGAGTTATAAATAAATATTATACCTTCGTGTCTTCTTCTTTTCATTGTACCTCAACTTGGCTTGGACCCTAGCATGTGGGCCGCTAGGTTCCAAGGTGGAGTCCCATGGAGATTCGACACTAAAAAATGTGGGTGACAAGCCACAATCTTGGTGATCAGCAACACTACTTTCACCACTAATGTTGGACAAAGAGAGAGAGATGCTCGAATGAACTTGGCCAGTGGCATTAGGGAACCCTAGGTTGATATTTCTGTTGTTACAATTTGGGGTCATGTAAAAGCAATTGCTACCACCACTTATAGCTGGCACAAGATTACTCGATCCAGCGGCAACATGATTCACCTGAAATATTGCAGTACATTCTTGTTGTTGTCTCGATGATGTTGCCTTAAAATAACGCTAGGGTATTAGCTAGATTCATATAATCAATTGAATTGTGAACATAGAGGGAGCCCACAAGGCAAACTAACCTCTATAAAATTCTCGATTGGACCATTCGATTCTGTGAAAGACAAGTTCCTCTCAATTGTCTTGCAATCTTTCCCCAAATCTTCAAATGTGCTTCTCGCATTACTTTGTAGACATCCAAATAAATCATCAGCATGTTCAAAATTCAATTGAACATCATCCATATTTAAGCCATCACAGAGATCTTCACCATCATGCAATCCAAGATCTTTAAGATTTGAACAACCCTGCTCCACATTATATGTTTTGAAGAAAAAAAAAAGAGAATAACATGATAAATATACTTAACCTAGACCGAATCAAGATTTGAATTGAAAATATGAACTAATTGAATATAGTTTAATCTGATTTTTCATTCCTTACTTTTTCTTCTTAAAAAAATAAGAAAAGTCTAGAGGACCAAAATTAAAAATTTAATCAAACAAAACGTACTTTCAATTTAACTATGGTCTTCATTCTTGGTCATCATGCACACCACTAGCTGAAATTTATAAGACACAGTAAGCTATTTTACCTTTAGTACGTTTGATTCTTCTGGTAGGAAAGTCGATTGATCTCTGTAGTACTGAATGTAACTCGTATTAGGTGGAGCAAAAGGTGGTGGATGAACCCCCACCAAAGGTTCAAATTTGGAACAAGGATCCAATTGCTTGAAACCACCATCGTTGGACCTTTGGTCAAAAGTACTACCACTCCCTGAAATCTCATTGGCTTGCAAGTTAACAAGAGACAATGGTAATGGTGGAGGAGGTTGTTTCAATCCAGGATCAAATCCATCGGCCAAAGAAGGAACCTCGAGAAGTGAAGTCAATATTCCGAAAAACTCTGACAAAGTAGGGCAACCTGTGTAGTAATTTAATGGTTGTAGCCTATGTCCTGAAGTTGAGCATCCATTATTATTATTAGCATTACTCCATTCACAACCTTGGCACACTGAAAGGTTCTCATCCAAACACCGAATTGTTGCAGCTTCTGAATTGCACTTATCGCAGAGAAGGGATCGTTGGTGCCTACGGGATAGTAAGTTGGCTGAATGCACGTACCCATCACACTTCAAGCATAGTCTAGCTATATCTGATTTGCAATAAACCACTGCCTTCTCCGTGCTACAACAGTCGCATAAAGGCTCCATTGCCATATCTTTTTTTCTACTTATTTCCTTCTAACATAAAATTGATAAAAACAAAAAAAACTCTAACAAGGTGAGAATATTCCGGCTTTTTATTAAATCCAGTACTTCTTGTCAAACCTGCAAAGAGAACCCACTCCTTGAAAAAAGCTTTCTTCCACCAACAACAATTCATGGAAAGAAAATCATGATAAAACACAAACACCGAATGTTCAACTCACCAATTCGATGACATCCATTCTTATATATTCAAGGGAAATAGAAAGGGAAATTACCAATGAAGAAATGAACGTCAAACTGCGCACTTTATTAAGCTGGGATCAACCATTGCAGAGAATGCCTAAAGGATCCATGAATTGAATGGACAGGACACTCTGATCGAAAGAGTACTCCTTGAACCAAATGCCTTTTTTTTTTTTTCTATCTACGATGATTTCAAACAAAATTAAACAACATTAACAGTTGAATCCATGATGTAAGAGGATCGGAGCTCTGTGTGTGTTTTTTTTTCATGTGGAGTTGGGAGTGACTGATCATAATCAGAGAATGAATTAATCAGTCGATCGAGGAGGCATTTGATTTGAGAGAAGTGGAAGAAGAATAAGAAGAAGAGGAAAAAAGAAAAGGGTTATTTTGTTTGTTTCCCCCCCGAAATAATAGCGTGAGTTTTTGCCATATTGCGGGATGGCCGGAGAGAGGGTTTCAAAGTTTATTTTTATTTGTTTTTTAGAAGTACTTTTCACAGTTTCAAGACACTGATTCTTCATGTGATGTGGCTATGAGTCATGGTTATGCATGTTCATCGGAGAATTCATAGGAAAGGAATGTCATTAAAAAGGGTAAATAAAAGAGAAGATAAAGACAAAGCACCCAATGTGGGCACGTAGGGCTCCGTATGATTTTTTAGTGGGATACTCTTTTTTTGTTTTTTTCAATGAATATTCTAATAGTGTACTAGCTTTGCCTTTTTCTTTTCTGAAATTTCTCCTTCAGTTTTAGAGATAATTTTCGTCTTAAAACTTTATCCTTGTCAAAGTAACAAGATAGTTGACATATTTGGTTAAAGCATTTACAAAAATGTTGTGTTTATGTAGTTGGCTTATAAGATTTGTGATTCAAAATCATTTGATATATATGATGATAATTTTAAAGCATATTGTCACATTTACATTCAAGAGCTGTAAATTGTGTGAGGGCGTGATTGAATGACGCAAACATGTATCTACATCATACCTTGTAAGATCATAGCCATATTAGAATTTTCAAAGTAAGAATAGAGGGATATATGAATTTTCCTTTAATAAGTACCCTTTTTTTTTAACTAATTCACCATCATCCGCTACTTTTATAGTTTCTGAAAATTGATTAAATAGAATTGAAACCTGTTAGACCACAAGAACACAAATTTCTCGTTATTAGTTTTAAATTCAAAATCTTGATTTATTTTTAATTTTTAATCATTAATTTATGGGATTATAATTCATTGAATCTAGACTTTAAAGACAACCATGCTACGCTTTTCTTGCCAAGTGAAGCTGCATTCGTAAGTTTCCAGTCTCGATGCATTGGTTAAACTTATCCGATCCTATGAATATCTCGTGTATTTGTACTTAACTACCTCATTTAACGCACTATGTTCATTCAAATTACATATCATTGCATGCCAAATTTTGTGTTATGAAATAAAGATTGTATGATAATCCTTGTATTCTCACAAAGTTATCTAACCTAATTAATTTATAAGTTATAATATAATAATACACCACTTAAACTCAAAATTTATTATTTGATTATTGGAGAAGATCTTTGTGATTAGAGAAAGCCACTTATTTGATTTGTAGGGTTAGATACAGTAGTATACACAATATTTTACATTCATCCTATCTAATACTACTACCCAGATTCTAAAAAATTACAAGACTTTCACTCTCACCCAAGGTTGTCAAACCGGTTTATGCTGGGGCGCCGATTTCACAAGTGGAATGGTCCAACCGTGGTACAACTAGTATTCATGTCGGTTATGCCAATTTTAATAAACTACATGAGAAAATGGAAATCCTCAATTCCAAATAAACTAGTCATGAAAAAGCAATGAGTAGAATTATTTCACACAAAATAATTTATAGATAAGAATTGGTAACTAATAGTAAACCGACCCGACCCGATGATGTTGGGTTTTGATTTTATTGGGTGGGTATGGATTTCAGGTTATGCAAATCGTGATGTATGAGTCGGTGGCTAAAGTGGTCCAAAATCGACCCACCCGACCTATATACACCCCTACCAAACTCTTGTCGTAAACTGTTAAACACAACCTCATCCAACAATGCCACAACTACTATATACAAATTTTTAACATCATTCATAAAGCTAAACAAAATACCTAGAACATGAGTCATGATGACTCAATCAACTATGTTGTCCAATGGCAATTGTGGTCAGGTATTACCCGTCCTAGCAGGACGGGTTCGGATCAGGCCTGATAATACCTAACAGGATGGGTTCGGATTTCCATAATTATTTATATAGTTAAGAGTTTGAGATCTACATGCATCACTATAGACCAATTTTTGAGGTCCTCTTTTGTGAAAACAAGCAATTTCAATGACATTCTATTGTTTATTCAATACAATACTACGAGTCTCAGAAACTCGAGTTACATCATAGTTAGCCCAATACAGAAGACTAGGCTATATGGTTATGGGCATGATTCTATAGAAATCACTCAATCACTTGTGTGTTGCTTAAGAGTTTTTGTTTCGTATGTTTATGGTTGAAAATTTCTAAAAAAAATGAGTTGATTATGGTCTTCTATAATTTAAAAAAATTTGTGGAACAAAGTAAGAGTAGATATAACAAACAAATCAAGATTTTCATTACGTGGCGTCGAATGTAGGCTGTCACAATTAAGTATTGAATGCATTTATTGAGTTTTGTTTGTGCCACGAACCCTCGGTCACGCCTCTCCACAATCTGCGATTAGTAAACACAGTTGGGGCGCCTGAACCCTGCACAGACAAGCGCCTAAAGGGCCTTTGGGTGCCCGTTAGCACTCCAACGCTCAAGTCAGGGCCGATTATAGAGAGATAAGTGCTAGCAAGACTTTAGTGAGAGGAGTCAACCTGCGTAAATGCTACCTCGAGTACTATTTATACTCGTCGAGGTCCCGACCAAGCTCCTAGGATTCAGCTCTACGTCAGCGCGTCATTAAATGCTCGGTACGGCCCAACGGTCGGGCGCCTACACGTGGCAGCTTCTGGACTCCTATGCCTAGGCGCCTGAGCGGGACCACACTACCAGGTGGCATGCCCTCAGGCTCCTGGTCGCCAAGATGCATGGTCTCCGCCCTACTTTTGTCGTTATGCGCCTGCTCCCCCTTGTATGGGCCTAACTCCTGACTTACATCCCCATTCCTCCAGCTCTCAAGTGGGCTTGGGCCTAGACAGCCCCTATGGGCCCATATCTCTCAATGGTTTACTTATGCTTACCCAACAATTGTCTCCCAGTTAGGCGCTCATGGTTTGTGATGAGTGCCTAACTATATGTAATACTGGGCGGTCTTTTCGATGTAGGTCTCTATCTGTTTGCCTCAACTGTACATGGGCGATTAAACTACTGCCACCCTGCTTGTAGTCCCTCAATTGCTCGATGGGCGCCTAACCATCCCCAAAGCTCTGGCATCTTCTAGGCGCTCACTTGGTTGCTTTCTAAACGACCACTCTCCACCCCTCGTCATGCCATGAGCCACCCCATGCTCTTGTCCCCCTGCGCCTGCCATGATCCATAACTAGCGTTGAACGCCTACCCCCGTAAAATTTTAAGGATGATTGCTTTCGTGGCCGTTATTCTGCCTATCATGAGCCTGAATCACCGCGTTTGTTCTAAGGAGGCGCCTAACCCAACGCCTTGCCCCACTCCAGGCGCCTTCGATTCCTTTCCTTTATGGGGCCCCGGGCGCCCACCCCTATATGACCCCCCTCTTCATGCGTCTTAAAATTTGAATTTATAATTTCGAATTATTTTCGAAATTTGAAATTCAAATTTCAAACGAACGGTGAGGATTGGATCTGAGGGTTGGGCGCGCATCCCCGTATTTGCCCGTTGGGCTCCTCCTCATATAAATAATTCGGTCCACCGCCCCCCTTCTTCATTTTCACGAACTCCTTCTCTCTATCTTTCTCTCTCTACCTCGAGCCTTCTGTGCGCCTACCCTCCTTCCAATCGTCGAAAATGTCCCGCAAATCCGGCTCAGGCGCCCTCTCCGCCGAACCGCGGAAGGAAAAGACTTCGGAGCCTGATGTCCTCTTGGAATTGGAGGGTCATTTCCCACCCGACCCCCTTCGCGAGAAGGGCGCGTGGACCCCCCGCGCCAAGAATCAGGCGCCTTCGACCACGACGCCGGATAGTTCCCATATTGCTTATGCAGACGAGACAACAGATAAGGCTGCGGCGCCCACCATCCCTCAAACAACCTCCTCAGGCGCGACGACCGACGCTGCGGCATCCTTGAAGCCTAAGCCGAGTAAGTTTTTTTTTTTTTTTGCAATAGGCGCCAATTGTTTTCAAGGGCTTAGCATTGATTATCCCCATTTGTATCGACCCTTATAGGCGCCGCGCCTGGATCCCGGCACTCGTCCGAATTGACGATGTCCCCGCTATCATCCGACTTAGGCGTCCGGGAGGGTGAATCCATCAAACTGCGGAGATGGGTGGACACATGGCCATCGGGGCAGGCCCCTGCTAAGACGTGTCATATGTCTCATATTAAAGCAAGGTCACGGAAAATTTCGACTCTGAAGGCGCTCGAGTTAGAAAATCTGGCCGTGTCACTACAACTTCCGCGATCCTGGTCCTTTGCGCCTGCCCCTAGCATAGCCAGAGTTGGAGTGGTCGGACACCGGTGGCTTGACCTTTACCGGGAGTACTTTCGCTTTGGACTCCGATTTCCCCTGGACTCCATCCTCGAAGGCATATTAACCACTTACCAGTGCTCGATTGGGCGCCTGTCACCCTCCGTTTTTCTTATCCATATTCTTTTTAAACTGAAGTGTCGCCAGCATAACATGGAGCCTACATTCAACCTTTTCCACTACTTTTTCAACATGGTCTATACCGACAACTGCCTATCACTGTAGAGGCGCCTAGGTCTTCCCGGTCACTTTCTAATAGAGTGTCCCAAGTTAGGGAGGGAGTGGTTTAGGATTTTTTTCTTCGTTAAGGCACATAAGGACTCTTTTTACGAGAGTGGCGCCTCGTTCACGAGAGGTTGGGTGATGGGCGACCATGAGGTGTTCAAGGTTGATGTGACCCTGTCAACCGCCGAGGAAATTGAAGGCGCCCGGCTTATTTCCTTGTATCCAGTTAACCTGCGTTCCACAGCTGCCAGGGCGCCTGTCTTGCACGATTACTATCGTGATGGTGGGCTCCTTATTAAAATGTAGTTGTGCCTATTGTGAGTTTCCTTCTATATTTTTGCTGAGATGCTTTGTTTAC